ACTGTGGTTTTGATCTGTAGTTCCCTATTGATTAATGATGTTGAGGATTAGCCATCTATATAACTTCTATGGAGAAATGCCTTTTTGGCCCCTTTCTTTCTTTCTTCTTTCTTCTTCCTCCTTCCTCTTCTTCCTCCTCTTCCTCTTCCTCTTCTTCTTCTTCTTTTTTTTTTTTGTGTGTGCAAGGGGATGAATCCAGATCCTCACACATGCTAGGCAAGCACTCTACCACTGAGCCACATCCCTGGCTGTTTGGCCCATTTTATAATTGCTTAATCCAAGATTATGAAGATTTATACCTATGTTTGCTTGTAGGAGTTTTATAGTTTTAGCTTATACATTTGAGTCATTGATTCATTTCAAGCTAATTTTTGTATATGATTGAAGGCAGGATCCAACTTTTTTCTTTCTTTTCACATAGATACTCAGTTTCCTCAGCACCATTTGTTTAAAAGCTCATTTTTTCCTACTAAGTGATCTTTTTTTTTTTCTTATTAGCTACACATGACATTACAATGATCTTGGCAATTCATACATTTGAATCAATTGGGGTATAATTTCTCATTTTTCTGATTGTACAGATTACAGAATCACATTGGTCACACAGTCATCTATATACATACAGCAATCGTAATGTCTATTCTATTCTGCTGCCCTTCTAATCCCCCCTTCCCCTCCCCTCCCCTCCCATCCCTACTAAGTGATCTTAACTCCATTGTTAAAAATCACTTTACCATAAAAAGGAGGGTTTTTCCCCTAAACTTTTTAATCTGTTTCATTGATCTGCATATTTATGTACCTTTATGCCAAGAACACATTATATTGATTACTGTAGCCATGGAGAAATTGATAAGGATAGCATTGAATTTGTAGAACAACTTGGTATTACTATATTAGCAATATTAAATCTTCTACTCCATGAACATGAGATGCCTTATCATTTATTGAGGTGTTCTTTAACTTCTTACAACAATGTATTTTAGTTTTCAGAGCATAAGAATTGTACTTCTTTGGCAGATTTATCCTATTTCATTCCTTTCATTGCCACTTTATTTATTTATTTTTCTTTTTTATTCGTTACACATGACAGTACAAAGATCTTGACAATTCATACATTTGAATCAAATGGGGTCATTGCCACTTTAAATGAAATTTCTTAATTTTTTTTTTCAGTTGTACATGGACAGCATGACTTTACTTTCTTTCTTTATTTTTATGTGGTAGTGATGATTGAACCCAGTGCCTTGCGCGTGCTAGGTGTATGCTCTGAGCCACTGAGCCACAAACCCAGCCCTATTTTCTTAAGTTTTTGATCAATTACATGTATAGAAATTCAACTGATTATTGTATATTGATCTTGTATTCTACAATCTTACTAATTTACTAGGTTAATAGTTTTGTGTTTTTCCTGACTAGAACAGGTGAGAACACAATACTTGTCTTCTTTCTGATTTTAGGCAGAAAATATTCAGTCTCTTACTACTACATACAATGTTAGCTCTGACTTTTTTGTAGATGCTTTTTACCATGTTAAGAAAGTTCCCTTGGGCTGGAGATGTGGCTCAAGCGGTAGCGAGCTCGCCTGGTGTGCGTGCGGCCTGAGGTTCGATCTTCAGCACCACATACAAACAAAGATGCTGTGTCCACCGAAAACTGAAAAAAAATATTAAAAAATTCTCTCTCTCTCTCTCTCTCTCAAAAAAAAAAAATCTTAAAAAAAGAGAAAGTTTCCTCTTATTTCTAGTTGGTCGAATGCTTTTAGCATGAAGGACTACTGAATTTTGTCAAATGCTTTTTCTGCGTCTATTGAGATGATCACATGGGTTTTATCCTTTACTCAGTTAACATGATATATTACATCAGTTGATTTTCATTAAATCAATCAAGCATTTGGGGATAAATTCATTTGCTTATGATGTTTAATACTTTTCATATTCAGATAAATTTGATTTGCTAATAGTTTTAAAGGATCTTTGTTTCCATATTCCTAAGAGATAGTGGTTCATAGTTTTCTTGTGATGTATTTGGGTGGCTTGCAAATCAAACACATACTGATTTGTTAAGAACAAATTCTTAATTCCCCACCTTCTCGTGTTTCACAAGAGTTTATGAAGAATTGGAGTTAATTCTTTTTTAAATATCCTTTAAATGTTTAGTAAAATTTACCAGTGAAGCCATCTGGGCCAGGATTTTTGGGCATGGGTGAGTTTTAATATTACCAATTCAATCTTTTTGTCATGGGTCTCTCCAGGTTGTCTTATTTCTTGTTAGTAGTTTGTGTATTTGTAACAATCTGTCCATGTCATCTAAGTTTTCTGATTTGTTGACATATTTTGTTACACATTACATAAGGGAATATAAGTAAATATAAGTACTCCCTTATAATTCTTTTATTTGTGTAAGTTAATGTCCCTTCTTTCTTCCTGATTTTGGTAATTCAGGCCTCTTTTTTTTTTTTTTTCCTTCCTTGGCCATGCAAAGATTTGTCAATTTTCTTGATCTTTTAAAAAATTAATTGATTTTTCTCTTTTGTTTTTCCATTATCTATTTCCTTAATTTCTGCTATGATCCTTATTATTATTTTCTCCTTGCAGGAGCTTGACTTGTCTTTTTGGCTTATCTCTCCTGTATGGATACTTTACAATATTAGTGAGCTTCAGCAAGGGTCAATGGGGATTTAGTATTCTCAGCCTCCTGCACCTGGCATAGTGTCTCTGTCCTATAATAATGTGGACTAGAGGAGGGGAACCCTCAACACCTCGGCTGCAAGTATCTGGAATTGAACCCATTCACATTGGATTTGGAGGAGATGAAAAATGCTGACGGCTATCTCTTCTGGTGAGATACTGTAATCTGTGATAAGAGAGTTGAGAGGAAAGGGAGCCCTGTCTTCTTGGTCACATTTGCCTAGAGGAAAACTTCTGTCAAGCCATGGTTCACTGCCATGGACTCATGCTCTTCTTTCCAAGTTTTAGCAGATTTTGTTGAATAAATGTTTGCTCATTTGGTACTTGCTCTTAGGATGATTTCCAGATACTTAAATGCTATTTAATTATTTTTAAAAGTAGTTTTATTTCTAGTTTTTTTTTTAAAAGTAAATTTTACTAGTTCTGCTGGGTAGTGGTCCTTTTGTTGCCATGCTGAAAGTAAAAACCAAAGTACTGTTTTCTTACCCCAATTATTATTAGTTCAACTGCCCTATGATAAATCATATTGTCAAGAATATGACCGCATATCAAACTGATATAGTATAACCATAGACAGAATTATTATTTCAAATTGGCTTAAAGAATAGTGTTAAATACACCTAAAACAAAAATTGCAAAGAAACTCTAAGTTGCGTTCAGGACTACCATTATTTGGAATAATATTACCATCTCATTTTCATATATATATATTCATATATATATATCTTCATAATTTAAGATATGAGTTGAAACTATCAGTATGTTATCAGATTTTTGTTGCTGTAACCAAATATCTGATAAGAACTTGGCTTAAGGTTTCAGGTGTATCAGTTCATAGTGGACTGGATCCATTGCTTTGGCCCTAAGGTGAGGCAGAACATCATCAGGAAGGGTATAGCAGAGGAAAGGGGCCAGGCTCAGGGCAGGAATAGCTGGGAGAGAACTGGGAGCAACATATAGTCCCCAACAGCATGCCCTCAAGGGATCACTCCCTTCAACTCCTTTTAGTTTCCACTAATTCATTGACATGGTTTACAGCCCTGAGGATCCAGTCATTTCCTAAAAGCCCCACCTCTGAATTTCTGAATTGGGGACCATGCCGACAACACAGGAATCATTGGGGGAAACTTCATATCCAAACCATAATAGGGTTTTTATTACTTCTAGACCTTTCTGGTGTACTGATCCAGAAACTACATATATTTTAGAAAGAGGATAATAAACTGTGAGATCGCACTGATACTTTGAATTGAAATTTAAGTTTATAAGAGGCTGAGGCAGGAGGATCTCAGTTCAAAGCCAGCCTCAGCAATTTAGCGAGACCACGTTTCTAAATAAAATATAAAAAAAGAGCTGGGGATATGGCTCAGGATTAAGTGCCACTGGGTTCAATCCCTAGTACTCTTCCTTCACAAAATGATGATGATGATATTATTATTATTATTATTATTTTACATAAACACACAATTTCTCTGGAACATAAAGGAATGGATCAAATTATATCAACACATTTAAATTAGCATTAACAGGATTATTAGATACCTGGATGATAAAGTTGACTTTCTTCATTTCTCATCCAAACATTAATTCCTGCGAAGAGGAAAGCTAACATTCTTTTATGGATTTGCAGAATGTTATTTCCCCCAAATGAATCAAACGGTATGGACGAAAAATTCATTAATAGTGGTGAAATAATTTAGTGGCTAGAGGTCAGCATTAAAAATAAAAATTGTAAAGATGCTATTAGAGTGCATTTCACTTACTAAAGTATTGTTTTAAATACATGCATATGTATGTGATGTAGGTGCGTACATATATACGTGGCCTCACAATAAAATGTACTTAACTGTGCAACGGGATAAAACATACTCGAAAGCGTCTCAAACTGCTCCCCAAAGCCTTCAAGGCTGGAGCAGGTCGCAGATCTGGAGTGGCGCGTCACCGGGCCCTCAAGGTACTTACGAAGGAATCGCTCACAACTAGCACCACGTTAGGAGCTGGGGCTGCTCGCCGCCTCTGCCCGTCTGTCCTGGGGGCTGGCGCTGCCAGCGCAGAGACTGCGACCACAGACACCCACAGCAGCAGCATGGGCATAGCGGTTCCAAGAGCCGGCTGCCTCTCCTGGAACTCCCTGCAGGTGTGAGAGGGTGCAGACGTCCAACAACTCCCAGAACTTGCAATTTAGTTTCCACATACTACACAGTAAACCAAAACTCCACCCGCAGAACTACTACTTCCATCAGGCTCAAAGCGGGCACATGCGCAAAGAAGGAACACCCCGCCTTTCCTTAACCCACGTTAAGTCCTTTTAATCAAATGCCGAGCATACTAACCCCAGCCCCTCCCAGTCACGTGAGCGATGCCTGGGAAAGGCGCATGCGCCTTCACTTCAGACTTGGCGTTTGTGTAGGAACCGGATCTGTCCCAGGTGGGTTTGGTTCGTGGTTCGTTTATGCATAAATTGGAGCCTAAAGGCAGTTGAAATGGTACTTTGAGAAAGGATCGGGATCAGTGCTGTTCGATTTGCGCCGAACATGCGTGGCTTAGTGTTCCGCGAGAGCGTGAACCGGGCGTTGATGAGGTGGCAGCGCGTCTGTCACTTAAGTTGGGTGGGGCGGTTCCTTTTGGGGCTTTGGCTGGACCTGTTCAGATGCGGTGCGGATACTTTAGGGCACCTGAATTCCCTTTTCAAGGAAATTACCTCATCTGGTTACCTCCCTTTGCCTATGCAGTAGGATTTATTGTGAAAAGTGGGGCCTGGTAAGAAGTTTCAGGTTCTAGGCGGGGAAGAGCTTAGCTTGTTCCTTGCCTTCTGAGTGCAAAGGAGAAAAACAAGCAGAAGCTCAAAGGAACAAATGTTGGGCTGTGTGACGTGTTCAGTTGATTGACGTAGGTTCCAAATACTGTTTTGCTGCAGAGTAATCAGCTATTCTCTTTTAATTGTTTAAATCTTTTGGAGAATTCTGGAAGAAGCAGATTTCTGATTCAAAGCCAGATTCTTCATTTCATTATCATAGTTTCAGGTATATAATTGCACATCACACCAATTGTTTTTAATATTTTTCATGAAAAGGAGGAATTGTACTGCTTATTTTTTTTAAAAAAAACCAACACAATTTTAAAATCCTGCAATTTTTTTTGCATAGAATAATTGTAACCGGAGTCAGACCTTAAATATTTAATAACTCACATAGCATTTTGTGCTGAGTATTATACCAAGCATTTACTTAATATCTACTGTGTGCTAAGTGCTTTTACAAAGAATGTTTTCTTACTTTGACCATTTTGCTGATAGGAAAGCAGATTCAGAGAGGTTAAATGAATGGATTTAAGATCACACTGGGAGTCAGCCTGAGCAGGACTGGAAATTGTGCCTTAACTCACTACTCTGTCACCATTAATTACAAATTTTCCTGACAACCTACTAAGATTGTTTTGTATTACGAAGCAGAATTGTTAAGCATCATGCTAACCAGATCTGGGAACATGCAGAAATTCAAACTTTAGATTTTCCCACAAGGAGCTTACACTCTTAGCAAACCTAACATACCTAAAATAATAGTACATTATGGAAGTTAATACAAGTAGACTCCCTCAAGAACAGAATATGTTTCCAAAATTGTTTTGGGCTAATTTGGTATGTAGAACATTATCATAGAAACAGTATCTGCTGAAATTTAAGATTTATAAAATTTTTGTTTAACTTTTTTTTCATGGCATAGTAATGATTCTGTGAGGTATATTTACTTTCTATGGCTTTGTATCTACAGGCCTTTATTCTGATGACAGGATTACAAGAACACATCTTATTCTTCCTCTTCTCTTGGCAGTGTGAGTGAAAGCAGATGCTGCAGTGGGTTCAAACAAGATAGATATTTCAGGGCTCTAGAGACATAGTGCTGGAAAAAATCTTTTTTAAGATTTATAGTCTTGATTTATAGTCCTTTGTTTTCTCATCAGTAAGACCCTTTACTGCTGAACTGACCATTCAGCTTGCCCTACAACATTCTTGATGATTGGATTATCCAGCTTGTGCTTTGTCATCTCCAGTGATGGGAAGCATACTTCCTTTGAGCAGTCCATTCCACATTTGTGTAGGTCTAAGTATTAAAAGTTATTATTTTGAGGGGCTGGGGTTGTAGTTCAGTGATAAAGTGCTTGCCTAGCACATGTGAGGCACTGCATTGGATCCTCAGCACCACATTAAAAAAAAATAAAGATATTATGTCCATATACAACTAAATTTTTTTTAAGTTATTCTTTTGCACTGCAGTCAGTCTGCCTCTACTTTTAACCACTCATTCATTACTCTCCACTTTTACATGGGTAATCTCTCCTTTTGAACTGTCTTTACCTCTACTCCACTAATTTTCTTTTCTTAGTCTTATCACTAACTTACACTGTCAGAAAATGTACTTTGTAGGTGCACATGTGTGTATATTTATGTTGCTGTGAAGACAGGGGTTCTGTTTTAGTTTGCAAGGGCTGTCATAATAAAACATTAGATTGGTTGGTTTAAACACCAGAAATTAAGTTTCTCATAATTGTGGAGTTTAGAAGTCAAATATCAACGAGTTGGCAGGTTTAGTTACTTTTGAGGTTGCTTTTCTTAATTTGCAGATGGCCAGCTTTTTTTCTATGTCTTTATGTGGTCTTTCCTTCCATACATTTGTATCACTGGTGTGTCCAGATTTCTTCAAAAGATGATAGTATGGATTAGGGTTCACCTTTATGAGTTCACTTAGCCTTCATTACCTTTGTTATCTAAATACTTTCACATTCTGAAGTACAGGTGTTAGGGCTTCAAGATATGAATTTTGGGTATATTTCAGCCCATAATAGTCTCTGTTATATGTATATATCTTAAAATCATCAATTAAAGGTTACTAGGTTAGGGATTGCTTGTTTTAGTAAACTACTCTCCTTTTCAGAAAAGTCTTCAATTGAAGAGTCTTGGTCTAATTTTTGATTCTCTGTACTTCTTTTTAATGTCCAAATTCTCATTAGTACTGTGTGTGCTGCCTATAGCAGTTATCCAAGGAACTTCTGGTATAGTTTTGGGAGACACATTTATACACACATAAATTTAATAATAACATAAAGTTATCAAATTAATTGCCAAATGAAAAATGAAAACCAAGACATTCCAAATGCTTTTGGAGAATGCTAACATTTTTAAAATGTCATCTTGTTTTCACTGGAAAAAAAGTCCCATGATCACAGAAGTTTCAGAATTGCTTGATTAAACTATTTTTGGGTATTTAGGACATCTCAGAAACTTTAAAAGTGCTAATATACATTGTGACTTTGAAAGAGTGAGATATATTATGTATGGTAGTCACAAAGTTCCTAGGCCATTTATTGATACCTTTAAGCATGCTAATGTTTCTTAGAATACATTTTTGGAAATGCTCCTATAAGGTAGTGAATATACAAGTTCAAACTAGTGTGTGATTGGTCTGGGAAGGTTATGTGCTTAGCTCGTGAACTTGAATTCTGTGTAGCATGAAAATATAAACAGTGGACAGGCTGAATGGGAGGAGCAAAGATGTACAGGTATAAAACTCTGGGGGGTGATTAAAAAAAAAGTAATGTGAGGTAATATTGAAACATTACCATGTGATTTGATGGTAGGGTTTTTTTTTTATTGGTTGTTCAAAACATTACAAAGCTCTTGACATATTTCATATATTAGATTCAAGTGGGTTATGAACTCCCATTTTTACTCCGATTACAGATTGCAGAATCACATCGGTTACACATCCACATTTTTACATGATGCCATATTAGTGACTGCTGTATTCTGCCACCTTTCCTATCCTCTATTATCCCCCCTCCCCACCCCTCCCATCTTCTCTCTCTATCCCATCTACTACAATTCATTTCTCTCCTTGTTTTTTTTTTCCCCATTCCCCTCACAACCTCTTATATGTAATTTTGTATAACAATGAGGGTCTCCTTCCATTTCCATGGAATTTCCCTTTTCTCTCCCTTTCCCTCCTACCTCATGTCTCTGTTTAATGTTAGTCTTTTCCTCCTGCTCTTCCTCCCTGCTCTGTTCTTAGTTGCTCTCTTTATATCAAAGAAGACATTTGGCATTTGTTTTTTAGGGATTGGCTAGCTTTTCTTAGCATAATCTGCTCTAATGCCATCCATTTCCCTGCAAATTCCATGATTTTGTCATTTTTTAGTGCTGCGTAATACTCCATTGTGTATAAATGCCACATTTTTTTCTTTATCCATTCATCTATTGAAGGGCATCTGGGTTGGTTCCACAGTCTAGCTATTGTGAATTGTGCTGCTATGAACATCGATGTGGCAGTATCCCTGTAGTATGCTCTTTGTAGCTAGATCATCAGCTATTTGTTGTATATGTATTGTATTGCTCAATAGGTATTGAATATTAAGAGACTCCAAAGATTTATGAACTGCATTTATGGATTTATTGAATTGAAACACAGGCCATATATATGTAGGGCAATTTTTAAATTCCAGGCTCAGCTAAGTGTGGTTCAGAGGAGGGAGTGATCCCAGTGACAGGCTTTGGCCTAGTATTTGTGTAGTAACTTAATTTGAAGAGGATACTCATGTTTGGGGATAGCTGTCTCTTAAGATAAACAAGAAGATTACTTCTTGAACTAGGTATAGGAAAGTGGCAGAGGGTTTGGGAATTTTGAACATATAGAGAAAAATTTATAGTAACTACTGGGTTACCATCATACTAGTCATTTTAGGAATGGCAGGAAAGTAGTGAAATTACTTGAGAGGATAACAGATCAGGTGAACAGAATTAATATACTTGCGTTTGGGCATTCCATCTTTGTGCATATCAGGTAAGTTATATACTCACTTTACCAGCGAGGAAATGGTAAGGTTGAACAAGGTCAAAGGGGTTGATTTCTTAAGCTCCTTCTCAACCGGGTTAAGTCATGGTAGGTAAACATGACAGAGTCATAGGATTGACAGAATCTGTGGTACTTCATAAGAACTGAGTTGAAGTGACTGAGTAACACATTAAAATCAAGGGTGGGCTGGCTAGTCAGTTGTTGGATGGAGGCTAAAGGAATCAGTGAGATAAACCCAGGATTTTACTTTGATTTGTCTATTTTTAACTTTTATCTTAGTTTCCTAAACATGAAAAATAATAACATAAATAAAAAACATATGAAATAACAAATAAAAACATATGAAAAAAATGTTCAACATCTCTTATGTGGAATACCATACTTTGTTTTCTTACCAGTAAGACCGTTTACTGCTGAACTGACCATTCTATTAGATAAATTTTAATACATGTTTTGGTCTTGTAAACTTACTTTCTGGTCCTTGTTCATCTGTATCTGTGTCTCCTAATATTTTGCACTTCCTAATTCTGAAGTAGTATGTTTATTTTCCACTTCATTCAGCTTTTCAAACCACCTTCATTCTCTCCTTGAAGTATTTTAGGTAGTTTTGTTTGACATAAGCAATTTCAGAATATCATCAAAATATCTTCAGAATTTGTAGTTGTGTATTTGTAGTAATATTTTGATGGCTATTTAAATATTTCTGATGACATGTTCATATGAGGTAATGTTTTCCTTAGTTTTCAAACTAATATAGTTGCATGATGTGAATAGCTTTTTACATACTTATAACCCTTTATATAGCTTAGAACGAGGTTTACTTTAGCATGGTTAGGCTGAAAGTTTATAGAAAATAAGTGCCCTCAGTTTCCCTAGATTCAAAACAAAATAGCATAGAAATAGTTAATATTCTTTTTTGGCTTAAGTCTTTATTTTGACTTGGTGTTTATTGAGTTTCTGATTTTTTTTTTCAGAATCTTTCTGATCTCCTATAGACTTTTGTTTTCATTACCTGAGACTTGTAGGAATGCAGTTTATGCCAATTCAGACATTTGAAGACTAAGATTAGTGTCTCACTGAGAAAGAAGATTAAAAATTGTACATGATTATGTCTCATGTTTTAAATTATTAATTGAATGTGAATATGATATTTAAAAAATTCATATTTGAGGTTATGGATGTTATCCCTTTTATATTACTATTTCTTATTTGTTTTTATTTAATTCAGATGAAAAACAGGTAAAGAACAATCGGCAATTCAAGAAGAAGAAAGAGGTGGTGATAATACATAAAAGGTAAGTGTTTAAAATGCTTATTGATAAGCATCTAGAGTCTATATTTACTTAATGATTGTTATTACTGGTTCTTTTCAGAAGAAAGGTTTAATGGCATAGATTTTGTAAATCATAATACAGCGAGGAAATGGTAAGGTTGAACAAGGTCAAAGTAATTTTTGTTACTAGATTTCAGAGTATTATGTCAACTCAGGAACTGATTTCCTTAACAAGACTCCAAAACCACAAGAAGTAAAATCAAAATCAATAAGTAGAATAGCATTAAATTAAAAAGCTTCTTCACAGCAAAGGAAACAATTAAGAGCATGAAAAGAGAGCCAGTAGAATGGGAGAAAATCTTTTCCACCTGCTCCTCAAAGTGGGCATATACAAGGAACTGAAAAAACTTAAACACACATACACACACACAAAACAAAAATAAAATTAAAAACAAATAATAATGGGCAAAGGAACAAAATAGGCAGTTTTCAAAAGAAGAGTGAATGGTCAACAAATATATGAAAAAAATGTTCAACATCTTTAGTAATTAGAGAAATGCAAATTAAAACTACATTGAGATTTCGTCTAACTCTAGTCAGAATGGCAGTTATCAAGAATACAAGTAACAATAAATGTTGGTGAAGTTGTGGGAGAAAAGATACACTCATACATTGTTAGTGGACTGCAAATTGTTGTAACACTCTGGAAAGCAATATGGAGATTCCTCAAAAATCTAGGAATGGAACCACCATATGACCTAGCTCTTCGTCTCCTATGTATATTTGAAAGATAATCAGCATACTACAGTGAAACAGCCACATCAATGTTTATAGCAGTACAGTTCACAATAGTCAACCTATGGAGGAAACTGAGGTGCCCTTCAACAGGTGAATGAATAAAGAAAATGTGGTATATATACATAATAGAATATTACTCAGCCATAAAGAAGAATGACTTTATGGCATTTGCTGGTAAATGAATGGAACTGGAGACTATCATCTAAGTGAAATAATCCAGCCCCTCAGCTGGAGACTTTAGGACATATCAATCAATTTATCTATGGCTGATAGTTTTGAGGATATTTATATCATTGCCTTTTTGGCATGACTATCACTAATTCTTCTTAAATATAGTTGCTACTTTTTAATCTTGATTTATATTGGATAAAAATGTTATAGGTTGGTAGTAGAAAATTTCTTGGTCTGTACACAAAGGACTTAAAAACAGCATACTACAGGGACACAGCCACATCAGTGTTTATAGCAGCACAGTTCACAATAGCTGAACTGTTAAACCAACCTAGATGTTCTTCAGTAGATGAATGGATAAAGAAAATGTGGTATATATACACAATGGAATATTACTCAGCAACAAAAGAGAATAAAATCATGGCATTCATAGGATGGAGTCGGAGAACATAATGCTAAGTGAAGTTAGCCAATCCCCAAAAACCAAATGCTGAATATTTTCTCTGATATAAGGAGGCTGATTCATAATGGGATTGGGAGGGGGAGCATGGGAGGAGTAGATGAACTGTAGATAGGGCAAAGGGGTGGGAGGGAAAGGGAGGAGGCAGTAAAAAAGATGGTGGAATGAGATGGATAGCATTACCTTCAGTACATGTATGAAGACACAAATGTGTGAATATACTTTGTGTACAACCAGAGATATGAAAAATTGTGCTCTATATGTGTAATATGAATTGTAATCCATTCTGCTGTCATATATAACAAATTAGAATTAAAAAAAAAAAAAAAAAAGGAATGGGTTTGAATAGTACCCAGTGGATGGTTAGTCCTCAATAAAGGTTTGCTTGAAAACTTAGTGAATGATCTGCTTCCTTTCTCCTCAAAAGGAGAGAAGTAGTTTTTAGGTGATTAAGATTCCAATATTTTGTTTCTTTAGAAATTAATCTCCTGAAATTTAAATAAGCATGCATGCATGTGCACACACACACACTCATACATATACTCACTAAATGAAGAGAGAGGGCCTCAGTCCAAACAATGAGAAATGTCATTTCAAATGCAGAAGGAATGGGAATAGACTACTAGAGAATTGCACTGCAGCATAAGGAATTGTAATTAAATATGGAGATACATGAATATGGAAAGACTTGAATGGGTTACCAAGAGAAAGTGAAGTTTGATTCTAGTGATCTTTAGAAACAATCTACTTAAAAAGTTTTTAATGATTTCCTATTTGTTACTGTATTTAAGTCCAGATTTGTCTGTGTGACTTTTAAAAGTTGTAATCTTAGACTCTACCTGTCTAATCTTGTTTTCTTCTATTCTTTTGTGAGTCATTTCTGTTCCATTCAGCCTGATTTTCTTATTGTTTCTTAAGCTTGCCACAGTCATTTTTGTCTCTTTGCTAATACAGTTTTTTCTGACTGGAGTAATTTTCTTTCTTTTTTTAAATTTAATTTTTTATTGGTGCATTATAGTTGTATATAATGATGGGATGTGTTATTACATATGTGTACATGCACATGTGGAGTGATTTTCTTTCTTTATTCCATTTTTTAAAATATTGTTTTAGTTATACATAGACACAATCTGCCAAAGCCAATGTCTCGGCTTGGCACCGGAATCACGAGCCACCACACACCTTTGTAGGTTCAAACAGCAATTCTTTATTCCCGCTCTCACACCGCCTCCACACAGGTCCAGGGGCAATCTCGTTCTGCCATCTCCCCGCACAATTCACCTACTCCACGAGGCTATCTCCAAATCCCATTTTAATCTCAATGGAAACAAGCAGCAGGAACACCCTAATCCCAGCAATAATCTTCAACCTCTAACTTCCCTAAAACCCATTATCTTAAACTGGCAACGCCTTAAACTCAAGGAGCCGGTTACTTCCTCAAACCTGATCAGCTCTAAACCCGGATCCGCCTTGGTCCTTGAGCAGGGTCACCTTATTAAAGCGTGCATGCAATGTCCCATCGAATGTCCTCTAAGCAGCATGAGGTACGCTTGGCAAGGAAATTTCGATGTGTCATTCCTACTTGGTAATGGCCCTCAGCAACAATCAATATCTTTATTTTGTTTATGTATTTTTATGTGGTGCCAAGGATCAAGCCCAATGCCTCACATGTGCAAGGCAAGTGCTCTGCCACTGAGCCACAACCCCAGCCCTCTTTCTTCCATTCTTAAGTCCTGTCTTCTTTTAGTAGCCATCAATTACATCACAAACCTTTTTTTTTTCCTCTGAATTCCTACTGCACTTCTACTTAATCATCTGTGGTTTAGTATTTGGTTTTCTAGTAATTCATATGTCTTAGGTCTTTCTCTTGATGTATATTGTATTCTTTATATCATATGCAGTGAATAGCTTGGGGACTGCATGTAGTTTTAATGCCAGTTGGTTCTGCTGTTTATGTATATGCTCCCACTTAAATAGTAGGTTGTAGAAGAGATGGTGATCTTCATCCTGAAAAGGTGGTGGTCTTCTGTTTTTTTTTTTTTTTGTTGTTGTTGTTTGGTTTTATTTTGAGGCTGCTTTTTTTCTTGATTTTTTTACTTGAAAGTTTCTTTTCATTGATCTAGATTGGTTATCATCATTGATGTTCTCTCTCTCTCTCTTTTTTAGTCTGTGGGTTGTTTTACCAAAGGAAACAGGTTTATGAAAATCTGTGAAATCAGCATTGAACTCTGTTACCTAATCATTGAGATTTGTAAACTACAAAGAATCCTTCTCAAGTTTTCACCCATAAATTAATACCAAGATAATTTCAGGTGAGGCAGTAGTTTCCAAAATAAGAGCATATGAAATACTTTGCTTTAAATTATGTAATTATTATAATTAGGTGTAAGATTTCTTTTTTGCCTATTTGAAGAATCTGGTTCTGGCTATAAAGAAGTTGCTTTTATGGCATCTTAATTTTTATATTATTTTATGTATTATTTATATTATTTTCTTTAAGTCAAAAATATATATTTTTTAACCTCTAACTTCACAAATTTCTTTGGATTTGGGCTTGTACATCACTCTCCTTGTATATAAAGTATTATTAGTGTAATTCATGTTTTGATTCATTTTGTTGATTAGTAATATATTAGTAATTCATGTTTTTGATTAATTTTGTTGATTAAAACATCTAGAGTCTATTACTACTTAATATTTATTCAATTTTGTTTTGCCTTTCTGATGAAATTTGAAATAAATGAAGTTGGCAGAACATGCAAATGTTTCTTTTGTTTTCAATATTGAATTGTGATTGATTTGATTGCCTCCTGGTAAGCCAGAATAAGTTATAAAACTTAAAATAGGCTAATTTACTTAAAATCAAATTAATTTACTAGGCATGGTGGTTTATGCATGTAATCCCAGCTATTGGGAAGCTGAGATGGAAGGATTGTAACTTCTAGGCTGGCCTGGACTATTAGGCAACACTCTCAGCAACTGAGTGAGACACTGTCTTAAAAGTAACTCAGTGGTAAAGTACCCTTGGGTTCCATGCCCAGTACCATATTTCTTAACATTAAATGAAGAAATACTTTGTCTGCCAATTGAAGTATCTTCTTATGGCTGAAGTTATTGTATAATCCTTTTTCATATTCATTATGCTACCATTCATGTATAAACATTGTGTTTATTTCTCTTTAGAGAAAATAATCTTATAGTAATCCTTATGTGAAGGCAGTTGATATTCTGATTTATATTTTTCAGAAACTAATATTAAAACAGAATGCTTTCTTAAACTTCCTTAAACTTTCCCATCATATTTACTGAATATTACTCTGTGTAATTTACTAAATCTTATTCTGTATAAGACCAAATTTTACTCTGTTTGGGCTTATTCTTTTGGATCTTGCTTATAAAATTGGATTGAGAACTGTATGTATTTTGGGTGCTGACCTACAAGATCATCTTTATTTTAGCCAAAAAATATGGAAAGTGAGTGTAATTTAAGTATAGCTCAATTTCAACATATTTATCAACCATCTATAATTTGTCAAAGACTAGGTTCTGGGAATGAGGCAGTAAAAAAAGCAAACAAAAAAAGCCCCAAACCAGACAAAAATCTGGCCTATATAGAACTTACATTCTGGAAGAGTTGGGGGTTCAAATAATAAGTAAGATAAAAAAATAGAATATATAGTGTATTAGAAATATGTTTTGAAGAAAAACTAAGGGGAGGGCTAATGGGAATATAAGGCGAGTAGGGAGATAGAAGATTTAAAATTGTAAATTATATATCTTGGGAAGATTTCAGAGAGAAAGTGACATTTGAATAAAAATCTGAAGAGGTGAGAGAATAAGCTATATGGTAGTAGAGAGAAAACACAGGTGCCTTTTTCAAATGGTTAAGTTTGTTGAGACTCTTACAGTTAGGCAGATTTCTTGTGGATTCAACTGGGTTTTTTGCCTTGACAGATGTCCAGCAAAGAAGTGAAGACTGCTCTAAAAAGTGCAAGAGATGCAATTAGAAACAAAGAATATAAAGAAGCTTTGAAACATTGCAAGGTATCTGATATTTGTTTCTTCCACAATAAAAGTATGTTACTCATTTATAAGTGTTGTATGGTGTGAATCATTTACTGTCTACATGCAACAAATGTGTTAAGACCATTTAGCAGGACAAGTGGAGTGGTTGAATTAATAACTCCTTAGTAGGAAAAATTAAGCCACACTTCATTTTGTCTTTTTCTTTATTGGTAAATTATTGAAGACATATTGTTAAAACCTGAATGTGTCATAAATATCTTTTGATGGGTTATTTTATATCTTAAAGTTTTTATTCTTTAATGGTATATTGACGTTCTAATTATATTTTGTTTGTGGATGGGAGAATCAGGATTCTAAAGCTCTTTTGTATGCTGATGGGAATGTCCCTGCGAAAGGGAGAAATTGAATGTGAGGAAGAAATAGAAGGTGCTAGCGTAGTGAAGTCCTTGGGAAGGTTAGGATAGGATCTAGAGCTTGAGAGGAGGGCTCTTGAAGATAAGAGCATTCCCCTCTGCAGGCCTGTTTTCTTGATGAAGTAGAAACTAATAGTGAGAAAGGATTTTTATAGAAGGTTTGAGACAAAAGAAGCCTTGAAGCAGCTTGACAAAACAAGCTACTAGTAAGAATTGTAAGGATTATAAGAGTCTATTGGAAGTTACATGTTATTAAAAGTGAACAGTGAACTTAAATGTGTTTTTCTTACTTCATATTGAGGTCCTTGGAATACCTCTAATACACTATACTATTTTTAAATCTTACTTATTATCTGCACCCCAACTCTGCCAGAATGTAAGTTCTACCTAGGCCAATTTTTGTCTGGCTTGGAGCTTTTTTTGTTTCTTAGTCTTATTTATTTATTTTTTACTGTCTGTTCTCACCTTTGGAGATGGATGGTGAGAAAGAAGAGGGGAAACAGAGTCAGAGGAGTTGAGGGAGTTGTGAACGGGAGTGATGACACTGATGGGTTATGGAGTCCAGGCTAGGTAAGGAGGGATGAGAAATTAAAAGTGGGGTAATAAGTAGTAGAAAAGGGGGTGGTGAAAAAAAATTAGAATTATCAGAATTTTGTTACCATGAGTCCATTATAGTAATTGAACTGGAAAGACAGGAGAAAGGCAGAATAGTAGCATGATGGAAATCTTATTTTTTGATGGTGGGGAAAAGTGGGAAAGTTAAGTAACTGAGAGGCTACAGTTCAATAGGACATCAACATGAATGTTAGAATGAATATGGGAATTGAGGAGGAGAAGATGGATAGAAAATTTGTGCTTAAATATTTGAGAACAGAGTGGTTCCTATGAGTTTGTTGATGGTAATAGAAACAAGAAGAGTATTTTTTGCAGTATAGTTGGATGAGTTGAGCCTCAAAGATAGTGGTGTTTTTGAAGAAGGAGAAACAGAAGAGGAATGTTGGTAGGGCAAGGAGAACTTCTTTCTCATTCTGCCACTGTGGTATTAAGTATATAAGAGATAGGAAGTTAGCTGCAGCATATGAGATTGATAAGGGAATAGCCAAGTTTCAGTCCAGGCAGAACTTACTACAGTTAAAAAAAAAAGGTTGAAAATATGGAGGGAACTTGGCTGATCCAGATTGGGCATTCCAAAGGGCACACTGATGAATTTAGGAGAGTGGTAGAGAGGGAATTGGGCAAAATTAGGAGAAATATATAGCAATGTGCGGATAAGAATATCTTTGTGAAGTTCACATTTCCAGTGGTGACTGTGAGGCCAGCAGGGGTACGAGGCCATGATAGTACTAATCTTAATACAGAAGAAGGTGGGCAGTCTGTTTATACTGGGTTAGGGTGGTAGATTGAATGAAAGAAGGGGAGAAGGACTATTTCCTTAAGCAGTAGTCTTATTGAACTAATAAAGCACATATGAACCTATTTCTACTGTTATGTACAGCAGCATCGTAACATTCTTCAGTATGTTTCATGCAAAATTCAGATATGAATTCTACCAACTAGTTCATTATTTATACTGAAGGTACTCAACTAGAAAACACAAATGGAGACTAAAATCAGTGACAGATGTCTGATTACTTATTTAGTAACCTAGAATGTTGGTTGACAATAAATGAATTTTAAAAAAAGAAATGTTGCTTCTTAGTGTATTTGCTGTGGCTTTGTCTGATCATCACCTTGTCTACCTGTGGGGCTTTATAATATGGTGTGATCATCCCTTTAGAGAAGGCTTTTCCAGTTTGTGCAGATGGAGTTAGGTATTTTTTCCTCTATGTTCTCTCAGAATCTTCTACCTGCTTTTATCACATTGTGTAATTATCTGTTTAAAAATCTGTTTCAGATTTTGAAAACCAGTAATTGCTGATTGCTAGATGACTATGCCATTTATCATTTATTTGACAGTTATGTGTGAGCCTTTGGACCTGATGTTGGGGATATAAATATTAATAAGGGCCCAGAGTTTAGAACTGAACTTTGGTAGTTATCTCATTGTTATGCTTTTTTAGGAGGCAGCGTTATTAGATAGAATGGGACTTGTGCAGCACATTGATGATAGATTGCTGGAAGTGTTAGGTGGATACGCATAAACCTAAGTTGGTTCAACTCATAGTAAAGTTCTTATTTTCTCTAGAATATATAAAACCTTAAGAAGCTAATTTCATTTTAGGAACTAGTTTTGTTTTTCTTTCCCTGCTTTCTACTTTAAGCTGTTTTATACTTCCTCAGTATTCTCAAAGAGTAGGAGGGGGCATTTGATGGAGGCATCAGGATCACTTGGGCAGCTTTAAAAAGATATACTTCAGCTGGGCATGTTGGCGCATACTTGTAATCTTAGCATTTTGGGAGGCTGAAGGTGGGAGATGTGAGTTCAAAGCCAGCCTAAGCAACTTAGCGAGGCCCTAAGCAACTCAGTGAGAGCCTATCTTAAAGTAAATACAAAAGGGGCTGGGGATGTGGCTATGTGGTTAATCGCCTCTGAGTTCAATCTCTGGTATCACCTCACCCCCCAAATTTTCTCTATCTGTCTGTCTATCTATCTATACCTCATATTCCAAACCCTTTACAATCACTAATGAAGTTTAGTTCCCTGAGGAAACTGAAACTAGAGAGATTAAATAGCATTCCAGGCCACTCTGTTAGTGATAGATGCAGATTTCCTGATTTTTAATAGACTGTTACTTTGTTGTTGTTTGTTCAATAGTTTCAAAAATAAAATGACTTTCTCTTAATTTTGTTTTTAATCAGACAGTCTTAAAACAAGAGAAAAATAACTATAATGCCTGGGTTTTTATTGGTGTTGCTGCAGCAGAGCTAGAACAACCTGATCAGGCCCAAGGTGCCTATAAGAAAGCTGCTGAACTAGAACCAAATCAATTATTAGCTTGGCAGGTATGTAGACATGTTTTTTCCCCTATCACATGGGAAATAATTTGTTTTTGTATTTTTCAAAGTATAAATACCAATATTAAACATTTAAACATCTATTTGCCCCATATAAGAAAAAAAAATTAAATTTACTGGTCTTTTAAGTCTATAATTAGTTTTTTAAAAAAAGTGTTGCTAAAGAATAATATGTATCACTATTTAACATTCTACCTAATGGACTATTTCTGAAAGCAAGGACCCAAGTTGATTGACTATATAAATCTTTAACATAATTATAGGTACATTAAAAAGATATCTAGAATATTCTTTATGCTTACCAGGGGGAAAAGAATTGTATATAAATGTTTTCTAAAAAATAAAATAATATCAAATTCCCATTTCCCTCTCTTAAAGTCCAAGTTAAATTATTTATTTGTGTCAATCTTAATGTTTTTTAGTTGGATTCTCTAACTTTTTCATATTTAATGAATTTGTTTCATGTGTCAATTATGTCTTTGAAGCTAATTAATAGGAAGTAGTAGGCTCTGGTAAGTATGAACTTCTTTCAGGTTCAGATGAATAAGAACTTGCGTGAGGGTACCTGGTATACCCTTAGAGAAATGGCTGCATTTAAAGCAAAAATGAAAAATTTCACAAACTACTTGAATATTTTTTCAGTTTGTATCATAAAAGTAGTGTCATTCAAAACACATCTAAAATTAAATCTTCTCACCTGTACATATATACCTGTACATAAATACACAAAAGGGTAACTACATAGTTAATGAATTCATTAATTAGCTTGATTGTGGTGCTTATTTTACAATGTGTACATATATCAAAAACATCAGACTGTATATCTTAAATTATTTTTCTGTATAAATGATATCAATAAAGCTGTTTCCAAACATACGGAATCATTTTTAAAAAGTAGTGCCATGCTTTTTACCACATTGAAATTTTTTTTTTTATCGTGAAACACTTCAAATACATTTTGAAAAGTGAAGAGAATGGAATAATGAACCTCTTTATGCCCATCATTCAGATTCAACAAAAATGCACCCACATCAGTATTTTTTCACCTGTCCCTTCATCTGCTTTCTCCCATTCCCAGTTATTTGGAGGCAAATTCCACACATATCATTTCATGTGTAAAATATGGTAATATTTTATTGTAAATAATATTTAAAGGTTATCACGTTATTTAGCAAAATAAATGAATGTAGGAATATCAGATAGTTAGATAAAAATAATTGCTACTATTTCTATTTTTAGGGGTTAGCAAGCTTGTATGAGAAGTGTAATCACATAAATGCTAAGGATGACTTACCGGGTGTTTACCAAAAACTCCTGGATCTTTATGAAAGGTAATGTATATATAGGGAATGACTTTTTTTTTATAAGCTTGAATTAGAGTAAACTGATTAAAAATTATATAGAAGTATGCCAAGCATTTACTGGGATTTAGGAAGCATTTTTCTTTCAAATGTTTATCATAGAATCTCTTGATTATGATTAAAATAAGATCAAAACATTCCTAGTAAGAAGATTGACTAATTTGAGAATTTTGGTATTACTTTTAGTCAATATAATGAAAAATGACATTTCTTAAATTTTAATTTTTAATTTTTTTAACAAAAGGCTCTTTTTACAAAATTTTATTGTGGTATTTTTCAATAAAATAGTACCTGATAATATTATTGAGATATTTTAATTTTTAGTGCTTTAAGTTCTTGATTATTTTCATTATCAGATTAAAAAGTCATTTTTTGTTGTTTTTGATCTAAGTGTTGACAAACAGAAGTGGTGTGATGTCTGTAAGAAACTTGTGGATCTCTATTACCAAGAAAAGAAACACCTAGAGGTTGGTTAATGGTTTTCTAATGTCTTAGACATCTTTTAGTAAAAAACTATTGTTAGAAGAAAGCTATCCTTTTGCCTAAGTGAAAATTAAAAATTAATATGTGGTATGATATCATAAGACTTTAAGAGGTAAATTACAATGCTTTGGCAATTATAAACAATTCAAATTTAAGGTATCATAACTTCTAGATCTTTTTGAAACAGGGTGAGTTATAAATTAAATAACTAAAAGTGTCATCTGTGGAACTTGGTGACCACTGTGGTATCTCTATAGCTGATGATTTAAGCTATAGGTGTTGGGAACTGTGGTCATCAGTTTTGTATCTGCTCTGGTATCTCACATCATATTTCTGATAGAAGTACTCTGTGGATTTGCCCAATCAGCATATATTTTATAGGTTTCATAATAGATGGAATTCTTTGCTTACGCTGTTTTTATATATTAGTGGATATAAGAAGTATTTTTTATTTATTTCCAGATTTTACATTTTTTATTGTCATTTATATATTTTTTTTATTATATTTAAGATAACAATTATTTTAAATCTCCTTTTTAATAGGTGGCTCGAACATGGCATAGATTGATAAAGACACGGCAAGAAGAAGGTGCAGACAACCAGGAGCTTCATCAGCTATGGAGGAAATTGACTCAGTTGCTGGCTGAGAGTATGGAAGATCAGAATAATGAAACCCAGCAATTGGTATTAACTTATTTATTCTTGTTTGTAACATGAAAATTAATCCTTTAATTTAATTTAGAAAATGGAAACCTAATGAATATATAGGATAATACTGTCTGTTAGACGAGGTATTTTGGAAGTGTAATTTTACATTCATAGGGGCTCTTCCTGATAAAGTTAGAATTATTGGCCTACAGTCTCATGAAGTCTGGAGGGAGTGGAATTGGTACTCAATAGCATTAGAATTTCCTTCCCTTGTATTAATAAGAATTCACAATAAATCAGTAACTTTATGCCCTAGAGGAAAAACTGTAAAAATTGTTTTAAACTTTTAATTTTTAAAAATTATACTTTGAAGGTGTGAACTTATGAACTGAGTACTGAATTACTTTGAGAATTAACAACTTAACTAGTTAGAGAATCTATACCTGAATAATACTCCTTTTTAGGGAGCAGATTTTCAAGTAATTAAAAAAAAAGAATTTTTTTTCCTGTAAAAACATTGATTATTGCACCATACTTGGAAAATATCTCTGTAGTACTTTTTTTGTTTGTGAGTCTAAAAGTCAGCCTAATTTCTTATTATAATAAATAGCTACTCAATTTATTCATGTATTTGAATGGAATTTTTAAACCTTAATAGTTACAGACTCTGTATGGAATAGAAAATTCATTTCCTTGTGTTTGCTTATTTGCTCACTCATTAATTTGTTTCTTTATTCAGAAATATTTATTGAGTATGTGTGTTAGGTAGTGTCCTAAGATCTAAGGATAAAATGTAAGAATAAGATCTTTCTCTATTTTTGTGTGGTTTGTTAGCTCTCCATTACTAGGACAAAATATAATAGAAAATCAAGTTAAAAGGAGAAAAGTCTTATTTATTTATTTACTTTTGGGTTACTCTTTTAGATATTTCTGTTCATGGTCAGCTGGCTGCATTGCTTTGGGCCTATGGCAAGACAGAACATCATGGTGGGGAGCACATGGTGGAGCAAAACTGCTTACTCCATGGTGGCCAGGAAGAAAAGAGGGAAAAGAAGGGACCATGGTCCTGATATACCCTTTGAGGGCATCCCCATTGACCTAACCTCTCTGTACTAGGTCCTGTTTCCTAAATTTTCCTCCATCTTCCAAAAGTGCCATAAGTTGGCAAATAATATTTTAATACATGGCCTTTGGGATCATTTAAGATCCAAACCCTACGTGATAATGGTGGTTAATGTGTGCATAGGTGCAGTTGTAGAAGAAATTGAGTAGTGACAAAAGAAAGAAGTAGCGTACCAGCTTCTTTTAAATCACACCTTTATAATATGGCTTTAATATTTTTCCTAGAATAATATAAGGTACCAGAATATCCAAGCACATATCAAAACAAAATGTCTTTTTGATTTGGATGTACTGTACTCTTCCATAAAAGATAATTAATTGTTATGCTATGTTGACCAGACTATCTCTGAACTCCTGGGATCAAGTGATCTCACTTCCTTAGCCCTTCCAAGTAGCTGAGATTATTGGCATTTACCACTGTGCCCAGCTGTTGCCTGCCTGCCAGTCTGTCTGTTTGGTTGTTTTTTTCTTTTTTTGTGTGTGCTAGGGAAGAGACCTAGTGCTTTGTGCATGTTAGGAGCAGCCTCTACATCTCTAGCTTCAATTATACTTGTACTTTTATATATTAACACATATAACTTGTGTTCAGTGTGATCTTTTCATATATATTCATAGCATGCAGTGATCATATCCAATCACTGTTCTTCCAACTTCTCCTTCTTCCCTGTTTCTTTCCTAATCTCTAATAATTTTAAGAATTAATTTCTGAGGTGGGAGGGAAAGGGAAAGAGAAGGAGAATTGCATGGAAGAGGGAAGGAGACCCCCTTCGTTATATAGAATTCAGGTATGATGATGTGAGGGAAAAAAAAAAGAAGTAGGTCACATTAGATTGGGTAGAGAGAAGTGATGGGAGGGGAGGGGAGGGGAAGGGGGGAATAGAAGGACAGCAGAATAAAATAGACATTATTATTGCTGTGGGTATATACGTGACTGCATGACCAATGTAATTCTGCAACCTGTACACTCAGAAAAATGAGAAATTATATTCCATCTGATTCAAATGTATGATATGTCAAGATCATTGTATTGTCATGTGTAACTAGGGAAGAAACTTAGTCCTTTGTACATGTTAGGAGCAGCCTCTACATCTCCAGCTTCAATTATACTTGTACTTTTTATATATTAACACATATATCTTGTGTTCAGTGTGATCTTTTCATATATGTGCATAGCATGCAGTGATCATATCCAATCCAATCATATCCAATTAAAACAAATAAAAATAAATAAATAAAAAAGAATTTCTGGCTGTTAAAAATATATTCAAAGGTTAGGAGAGGGGTTATTTTCCCCTTGTGTTCACAAAAAAGTCATCATTTTCTATTTAGATTAATTTCATTATTTTTTTTTGAAAAACCATTAGCTTTAACTTTTAGTTAATCTTCATTTTTGTTAAGATCATTAACTTTTTCAGAGCTTTGAAATTTTACTTATTCATGAAGACTTTGTATCATATTTACCAAAGAAAATTTGAGGTGGTAAACTTCATTAGTAAATTAAGTTATAAAATATTTATTAAAAAATGTAGAACTTATATTAACCAATATAAATGATTATAAAGTATTTTAAAGTGCTTACCTTGGGTTTTAGTATTGCTGTTCTTGAGAAAGACTTATTTAAAAGGCCTCTTGGAATTTTCTTCAAAATCAGATAATACTTTATAAGAAATTATTTCATTACAGTTCAGTCTTATCTCTTTTGCCAGAAGCAAAGTGCTATATATAGTTTTTAAAAATTTTTAAAAGTTTTCTAGTTGTAGATGGACAAAATACCTTCATTTTATTTATTTATTCTTATATGGTGCTGAGGATCAAACTCAGTGCCTCACATGTACCAGGTAAGTTCTCTTATCACTGAGCCACAACCCCAGCCCCACAATTTTTATTTATTTATTTATTTTGTGATGCTGGGGATTAAATCCAGGGCCCTGTGCATTCAAGGCAAGAACTCCGTCAACTGAGGTATATCCCCTGCCCACCTCTCCACAATTGTTTTTTAAAGGTTGAAGATTTGCTACTATTGGAGATGTTCCAAAGAATATGTTAATGATTTCAGAAGAGATGGTTTCAAAATGATGTGAACAATAACAGCTATACTAGCATATAAGACTGCTCTGGTTGATTTCTTTGTAGGAGACAGCAAAGAAGGGAAGAATGTTTAATTTAATTTAATTAAAAATGTTATTAACTTATAGTTATCATTTATTAGTTTAGTGTAGTCTGCTGGCCAGTTAGAGTTAAAATATATTCTAAAATTTGTATGTACTTTTGTTTTTCCCCTCTTATTGTCTGACTGACAATAAGACATTTGCAGCTACTTGAAATTTGAATACAAAAGTCTTATACATTCAACTGTTTATCACATTTGTCATTTAAGTTTATACATGAATACCTTTTTGTTTGTTTCAGCTTTTAACTGCATTCGAGAATGCCCTGGGCTTATCAGATAAGATTCCTAGTGAAGATCATCAAGTACTATATAGGCATTTCATTCAGTGTTTATTGAAAGTAAGTAGATTCTTAAAAAATCTTTAAAATGAGTTTTATTTCTAATCAGGAAAGTTATAAAATATTTATTAAAAAATGTAGAACTTATATTCTATATGTGTTCACAAATGCATTTTACTACGATTAGAGTTTAGTTTATTTTGCTTTTGTATTTTCAAGTTTCCTCATGAGACTGCTAGGTTGAAGAAGGCTTGTGAAGGAATGATAAACATCTATCCCACCATACAGTATCCATTAGAAGTGCTCTGTTTGCATTTAATTGAATCAGGTAATTTCTTCCTTATTATCTTGTGTGTCCTAGAGCTATGAGATTGTGTGGGAGTGATGTTTGTATCAATCAACAAATATTTTAGTGCTTACAATGTGTAAGATACAGTTTCTGTATTTCTGGACATAAAAGGAAGGAAATAATAGTAGTAGACTTGCAAGAGTACTTTTTAGTACCTTGAGAAAACAGTATCATCATGAGTTAATTGATGAAGTATAAGGTCTTAAACTAACATGGTGTACAGAATAGGTTGTATAGAAGATAAACTAGAGTAAGTAGATTGATAATAGCAATGAATGAACTCAGCACAAAATGGAGTCATAGAAAGGAACCCATGAATGAAAAAAAGGAAAGGAAGTGATTCTTAGAGGTAAAAGAAGGGAAAAATCAAATTTAACTTTCAATTTTCCTGAAAAGTTGATTCACTATGGAATGATGGTTTGTATGAAAGGTAAGTTAGTGAGAGATGTGAGATCAATAACAAAGCTAGACACATAGGTTGGAAAATGGAAACATCTTTTGTGTAAGTAAAAGTGAATTGGAGTAGATGACATCAGAGAAACCTAAGGGAAAAAGGCTGATCCTGGGCAATGCCAGCTGAGGAAAAGGACAGAGAAAGGGAGAAGAGAACAGAGGGGAAGGTGGGAGACCAAGATGGGAAGCAAAATAGAAGAAAAGAGCAGTTGAAAAAGGAGATTACTAAGGTCTATCATGACAGACTAAACAACTAATTTTATAATTAAGACCTAATTATTAAGACTGTCTTTAAATCAAAATAATTGAAGTGGAACTTAGATTATAATGATGTCTCCATCATTATAATCTAAGTTCCACTTCATTTACTTTGATTTAAAGACAATAGGAACAAGTGGTTAGTTAGCAGGTATAAGAAGAAAAATAACTCAGAAATTTAACTTGCTGCATTTAAGGCCAGGAGGAAGAATTGTGAGAAGGGGATAATAAATTTTTAGAGGGGTAGGAGAATAATTGTTGTAGTGTCACCTGCAGGAGCATTTCAAGAGGAAAGGGCTTCTGGACATTATAAATGCTGTATTGAGGCCAAAGAAGATGAGGTGTGCTAAGAGATTATCAGCATAAGGGTCATGTGTGTGGATTTTTGGTGTATTTTTTCTCTGTTAGGAAACGTAATTCCAAAATCACCCAGTTTTTTCATATTTAAACATAAGATCCAATGTGTTCTAAAGATAAGTGGAATGATTTTCCTTATTGTATGACCTTTGGAACCCATCCCTCCATTCCTTTTTCTCCTAAGGAGAAATTAATGACTGGTGATCACTTTTTTTCTCTCCAATCTCATTAAGCTATTAATGGTTTATACTGTTCCCATATTCTTGGACTGCTTACATGCCAAATGGTACCAGTGAGTATTTTGAAATTTCTGTTTTGAAAACTGATGGAATGCTTTCTTAAAAATCATGAATGTGCCTTTAACGTGTATTTGTTAGGTAAACATGGCCCTTATAGTCCAGAAAGCCTGAAAAATAATAGAAGAAATAAAATTAACAAATACCCTAAAGCTTTACTTATGAATGTAGTAGGTGACAAAGTGCTCCATGAGAGGGGGTGGGGAGGCAGGCGGGGTGGGGGAGAGAGAGAGAGAAAGGGATTATTCTAATTTATTAGAAATTGTATTGGTTTAAGTGAAAAAAAAAACATTGTTAAGGAGGATTTGGGAATGGGTATTTTGCAGAATTGAAAGAAAATAGATCTATATCATGGCAGAGAAGAGTGACTAGGTAAATATTTACACATATGGCAAAATCAAGGGAGAATTCTTTCCCTACTGAATTGTTAGTTGCAAGAATTTTTGGAATGGTACAGTTCAAGTTTATTCTAAGATAAAGCATTATTCTGGGGATGAAAGTTTGTTAATTCAGGGCTGTAGGAAGGAATGGTTTTCTTTTTATTGTTACTCTAAGTCAAACTTTATGTATTCTGAAAATTAAGAACTTTTGAAAATCTCTTAACTCTCCAAATTTCTGGCCCTTCCTCCCCCAGAGTATTTCAATATCTACAGAATTTTTTGCATCACTGCAGTTAATCATTGGGTTCTCTTCCACTGGAAACAAATATATTTCATTATCCTTTGTCTTGCTTGAGTCAGTTTGTAAAGCTTCATAAAACAAGTGGTGAATAGCTTTCACAGTTGTCATCTATTGAAATGTTCTTTCATGCTAAATGACCTTTTTGATTAATTTTGCTTTCTTGCTGAAATGAGAAAGCATAAGAAACTTTGGTTCTTCAAATTCAAATATAAGCAAAAAAGAGCTTCTTTAAGATTTTGTGCTCTAGAAATATTAGAAAATGCAGATGAAATGTACATATGTACTTAAAAAATTTTTCCTCTCTCAAGCCAGGTTTATTTAAAAGAAAAATTCTGTAATAGTGTTCAATTTCTTCGTTATATCAGAAATGAATTAGTTTTTTAAGAAATTCTACTTTTTTTTTTTTTAAGTAAAATTCAGGAAACAGAATTCTGTAGGTATTACCATACCATCCAACCTTCAGAACATCCTTTATATACCCTTGGTGTTTAGTATTCATCAACTTCAAGTCTGGCTTGCCTTTTGGAGAAATAAAAATATTGTTAAACTATTTTTTGAAATGTTTTTATTAGTGCATTGCAGTTATATATAAAATTGGAGTACATTTTGACATAATTTTACATGCATGGAATATAATTTGCTCTACTTCAGTCCCTAGTACTTCCTTTTTCTCTTTCTCCTTCCTCTATTCCCCTTCCTCAATTCTACTGATCTTTCATTTGTTTATAATTTTTAAAAAATCTGTGTTTTATGGATACACATAAAACCTTCAAATCCTCTAAATGTTAAAAAGAGTATGTATGTTAAATAAATTTTTGCTATTTAAAAACAATGATGTCTATTTTCTCTCTTTTCTTTCTCCCCAAACATATTTATTTAGCTAGAATTCTCAACAAGAATTAGTACAGAGAAGAGGAGGATCGAGGATTGAAGCTGGAATAGCTGAATATTCCTTATCTCTTCAAACAGACTCATTATTGTTATTACTGTTGCCAGTTTTTGAGATCATTATGGATAATTTCTGTCAATGCCACTTGGTCATATATAGAGAATATGTTACCAGAGTTAAGCATGAATATAGTTTCCTGAAATCTCATTTTGTTTCTATAATTGTGCTTCTAGGCATTAGCAAAGGAATATCTTAAGAAAGTGTAGGAAACCGTCACGTCATGTGACCAGTGTTTTTCCTCTCCTGATAGGTTGAGGCACTGATGGTCATTCCCCCCCCCCTCCCCGCAAATGATCTGGCTACTCTTAAGTTGCTGAAGATGGTAGCCCCCGCTCTTAAGGGTAGAAATAATGCAACCACATGTGTCTTCAGGCGTAGGCGTGCCTTCCTACAGCCCCATGGGTCCAGCTACATCTCATCTGTTCCTTTGTGATATTACCCTTTGCCCTGTTTAGGATAAAATGTTCCATGGAAATGCCTTTTGTGTGTCCCCTTCTCTTACCTCCCCTTGGGTGTGGCCTTCCTAGATGTCAGTCAATCTGCTGACAGCAGACATCTTGAAGCTAGACTCAGCCCCTTGAAATCTGACCCCTTGCCTCATTTGAATGGCTTTTCCTCAATAAAAGGGGCCAGCATGTGCTGCGGACCCTTAAGGTCAGAGGAGCCGTCATAGCATCCCTGAAGAAAAAGGTATTTCTGTTTCTTGTGTGGTTATTTCGTGCAGCCCAGTTCCCCTGGAGTGACTCCTGAGTGTTTTTGTCGTGAGCAATGTGCGGCAAGAAGATTTACCCTGTTCTAAAAGTGGTACCTGTTCATTTCACATTTTGGAAACTACCTACCCACATGTGCAGTTTTGGGTATCTTAGATGATCACAGGAAAGATGCATGATTGACTTTTCCTCTTTTCATCCCTTGTGTTTTCTGTAATATTGTTTATGTTGCAAAGGTAGTCTATCATAAATTATGTTTCTATGGAGTAAGAGTTTTGACTCAGAATTTGAATCAAAGGTAAAATTTTTATAGCTATTTGTTTTTCTTTTTTAGAATGGTTTATCTAATAATTCTCAGTACCTATTAAATCTTTTTGAACATCAATTCATGATGATATTTTTAAAGAATCATCGTATTTAATGGTATAGTACCTACAACATGTAAGAAACTATGCTAGTCTCTATTCTCTAGAAGTACCCATTTAGTTACAGATGTGCAACAGAGGCAGGGCATATCTGTTTTAAAACTAGTAGTAAAGGTGTTATATGATATTAAAATATTCTAGACTCATGGCTCTTATTAAAGTATGCTCTCTGGATCAGTAGCACTTAAGAAAATGTTAGAAATGCAAATTCTCATGACTTTCACCAGACCAACTGAATAAGAAGCTATAAGAGTGGAGCTCAGCATATTGTATTTTTAACAAGTCTTTCATGTAATTCTGATGCTTGGTATAAACAGTATCTAGTTTAGGCAAAAATCACTGGATAAAAAGGAAAAAGCCACTACCTTATATAGAAGGTATGGAGCTAGGCATATCTGTCCCTGAAGTTCATGTTTATGGAAGCAATAAGAGGAACATACTGACAGGAGAAAATTCATGTCTGGAAGCATAATAATAAGTATTTTTTTTAAACTGGCTTTGTGATCAAACTATTCATTCTTCCATTTGTCTTCTTTCCTTTCTTTTCTTTTCTTTCTTTTCCATTGGACCCAAGGTGCTTAACCACTGAGCTACATCACCAGCCCCTTTTTTATATTTTATTACAGACAGGGTCTTGCTGAGTTGCTAAGAACCTTGCTAAGTTGCTGAGACTAGCTTTGAACTTGAAATCCTCCTGCCTCAGCCTCCTGGGCCACTGGGATTATAGACTGTACACCACTGTGCCCGGCTCTAATTTGTTTTCTTATTTTTCCAAACAGTACTAAAATGTCAATTCTTCAGCCATTATGAATTCTATTTTCGGTGCTAATTTGGACCTAAAAATCATTATGTTACCTATTCCAGATTATACATTGGTGTGCATCTGGTTTTGAAAAATTTGAAATATATAAACTAAATGGCATTATGCAAATAATTTACCTTTAACATCTGTGACTGAAACAGTGGTTCCAATATATGATTTAAGGGCATATGTTTTATTTAGATATTAAAACATCGTATATTTTTTTCAGATAAATTGTTTCTATTTGTTCCCATATTTATTGCTTGTATAGTCTGTCTTAATTATTTTAAGAACTTCCATATGTGATAGAACAATTTGTTGAAGTGGTGAATGCTATTTACCATTAATTCTAAAGACAAATCACTATCGCTTCTCGGCCTTTTGGCTAAGATCAAGTGTAGTATCTAAAGACAAATCACTGTGTGTGTGTGTGTTTGTGCGCGCGCGCGCTATTTTGGAAATGGCAGTCAATATTTTCTAAAGTGTTTTACCAAAATAAATTTTAAAATAAATGTAGGCATCGGATGATTATTACATAAGCTTAATTATTACATAGAAAAAAGATAGTTTTAGAAAAATGTGGAAATGTTCTGCTGAGTTTGTATACTTAGGAATATTATGTCTTTGTTTCAAGTTTTTGTTCAATGTTCAGAGGAGTAGCCCACTGTCTTTTGATTTTAGGATGCTGGAAAATTCCATTGGATCTGGCTGTCATGTTTTTGTCAGTTCATTATTGTCCACAGGGGGGAAACTGATGAAGATATCCTCCTTTGACAGGGGTTCCTTCATTTAACAACTAAAATTGTTACTGCTGAATAGGAAAGAGAGACTTGGCAAACTATATGCTCTGTAATTTAACATACTAGCAAGTAGCAATAGGTGTTTTGTCTGAAACCCTTTAGTATGACTTCAGATTCATTGTCTGTGGATAAAGTGGTTTCTACTATTTAAGAAGAAAGTATAGTTTTTTAATGAAATATTAATATTTTTGTATTTCCCGGTTTAAGTTTTGAATTCCTAGAATCATGATACGGTAAAGGACGTGTTAGGTAACTTTTGAGACTTAAGTATATAGGATTTGGTACTTAGATACTTGGTATATGTACGCTAATAACTTTTCTCTTTTAATTCCAGGAAATCTTACTGATGAGGGACAGCAGTATTGTTGTAAGCTAGTGGAAATGAATTCAAAAAGTGGTCCAGGCCTCATTGGCTTAGGCATTAGAGCATTACAAGACAAAAAATATGAAGATGCTGTTAGGAATCTAACAGAAGGTAAATTTATAATGTGTGTCATGTGACATGAGTTGTAATTGTTAGTCAGTAGGCATTAATCTTGTAGCCTTGCTTTAAAGAAATATCTAAGATGGATGGGGAAAAAAAAGGTACTGATATATCCTAGAGTCTTCTTAGGTTTGAATTCCAACTCTTCCACTCAGTAAATTCAAGACCTTGGAAAAGTTAGTTAAACTTTTAGTGTCTCAGTGTTTGCATTATAAAATGGGCATTGTTTTAAGAAAGCTTTAGCTTAGATTTATCATGTATGATGATTCTGGATGAGCTTACATTCAAGCTGAGGTCTGACTGACAAATAAACAAGATGAGTGGATGAAGGGAATAGGAGGAACATTTTAGGTCAAGAGATGTATCTGTGACATAGCCTGAGGTAAGAGGGAAAACTCATTCTTGAAACTGCTAATAGTTCAGCAAGGTTTGAGAATGAAGTATGGGTGCAGAAAAGGGAAGAAAGTAAGGTTGGAGAGGGAATTTCAAACCTTGTTAAAGAGTTTGCACATTATCCTGAGGGCATTAGGGAAGCAGAGAAAGGCTTTAATGAGGTAAATTTTATTTTCTGATTTTTTTTTAGAAATATTGTGACTAATGTACATACATAGGAGTGGATGTCCAATATTTTCACTGACCTGGGATAAAGATGGAGATGTGAACTGAAGTGGTGGTAGTAGAGATGGAGGAATATGTGGAGAAAAATGATTGGGGGCATTGAAAGTGTGGCTTTGTGATTGATTAGATGAGAAGAGAAAGAAGAGGGGAGGGGTCTGATTTAGATAGTAGATAGTGGTGCCGTTCATTTGAGTAGTCATGGAAACATGGGTTTTATTATTCATTGTTTTTAATCCTTTTAGGGCTAAAGGAAAGCCCTCTCTGCACAGCTGGATGGTATCATCTCTCCGAAGTTCAAATCAAAATGCATAGACCCAAGGAAGCTGTTCTTTCATGCAATCAAGGTATTCTTGATATCTTTTGGGTTTTCACATAAGGGTAGCCAATGCTGTTTGTGTTTTTTATCTTAAAGGAGAAAGATAGTGGTTTTAAAAAAATCTGGATGCTTTTTAAGTTGCTAATTTCAGTTTCCCTAAGGAGATTAAATAAATGCCAAATCTGCATGCATACCTACTAGTTTTATTTATTTTTAAACTGGCAATGAATACTTATTAAGCTTTCTCATATTTGGAATTTGACTTAGTCAGTTTAGGGATTTGAGTGGAGGTGCTCTGTCTTTATAATATGGAAATTTCTAGTATTATATGTGTTCAGGACCTTCATGAATTCTTAATTTCCCTGGTATAAATAAGAAATCTTGGGCATCTTGGAGACTTTCTGAGTTTTGAGGTGAGGTATGGAGCTAGGACATCATAAAAGGTGATTCTCTGTTCCTGACGAGGCTAGAAGCCTTGCTTCTGTAGTTGAAAAACAAATCACCCAGCTCCACTCTAATTCATTTTTCTCTGTCCAGTATTCTTAATTTGTTGTGTGTTACAGATGCTTTGGCTAAGTGCTAACCTTTATTATGTAATAAATATAGATAGCCATTGTTGTGTCTCAGGATCTTTGGCTTTATCATATGTTTTGTGAAGATAGAGGTTTTTAGTTTATATGTGTTCTGTTTTAAAGTCAGATCTTTCTATAAAGAGTTCAAGTAAGAACTTATATTTACCTTTGAATCATTCCTCATGTATATTGCTTTAGAAAGTTAGATTTATTTTATCTGTAATTTGTTTTATAAAAGAAAAAAAAAGTGAACTGATGTAGTTATCTTCATCCAGATGTCCTTAATTTTGTCAGCTCTGAAGAACATAGAAAATCATGGTGTGTCTGGAGACAGTCTTTATCAGAAGAACCTTTGTCTTCGTTTGAAAGCAGAAGCTTTGATTAAACTCTCAGATTATGAATCTTCAGAGGAGGCAATTTGTTCTCTCAATCAGGTAATCTTATCAGTTTTTCCCTTAAACTTTAATTAGTCCCAAGCAACTGACTATCTCTCCTTACTAAATATTTACTAACACACATTTTGAGTTAGAGCTATGACTTCACCATATCTATACTTTGACAAATCATTCACATACTTGGAAACTCCTGAAGTTATTTGCTTCTTGGTTAAATTCTTACCAGTGCTTTGACAGTGAGGCACTTTCTTTAGTTTTAACTGGTATTCTCTCTTCTTTTTGTTCTCTAAGGTCATCACTACTTGATTATTATTAATTTGTGATTCTAAATTGTTTTCTTCATAATGGTTTTATAGGTCGTTACAAGATTAATTGAGGACTTTAATATTAAATTTCATAATAAGGAATGTTGTTAGTTTCATTCAAAAAAAGATTAATTTTTTAAGAAGGAAACTGATTTTTTAATGTTTTTGGTTTAAACAATTTGAAATTCCCTAGCAAAAAAGACAACAGGTAAATCATGAATTATCACAACATTGCACCTTATAGAGTTTGTCAGATAACAGCTATTTTTTTGTCTAAAATTAAAATTATATCACTTACTATATTAAAGGGTTTTAATTTTTCTATTTTTAAAATTTTTTTTCTAGTTGCCTATGGACCTTTATTTCATTTATTTATGTATGATGCTGAGAATCGAACCCAGTGCCTCACACATGCTAGACGTGTGCTGTACCACTGAGCTATAGGCCCAAAGTGGTTTTAATTTTTTAAAAAAATTATTGCTTTGCATTTCATTAGAACTATAAAATTTCTTTAAAATTATAGCAGTTATCAGTATCCTTTAAGAACTAATACCTTAGTTGGGTTATCGTGAGGCATGCCTATAATCCCAGTGATTTGGGAGGCTGAGGCAGGTTGATTGCAAGTTGGAGGCCAGCATTGGTCATTTAGGAAGACCCTATCTCAAAATGAGAAATGAAAAGGCAGAGGGTATAGATCGATGGTAGAGTGCCCGTGGGTTTATTCCCTAGTAATGCAAAAAAAAAAAAAAAAAAAAAAGGAACTAGTATCTTATTTTCTACTTGCCTTAATCTGTTTTGTGTGAATGTGTTATAAAATAGATCTTTCCAAAATTTTTTCACAAAAAAAACAAAAACAAATGAAAAGGGCACTAGTAACTGCGGTAGATTGAAATACATCAAATATATTTAAATTCGTTTGTTCATGTTGATACAAAAAAAATCAATGGAACAACTTCAAGAAATATTATCTTGGGAGAAAGCTAAAGACCACACTGGAAAGAAAACATTTATCTTGCTTTTCCTATCTGAACTTTTCTTTAGGATAAGCAGTTAATGAGAGGAGGAGAAATTCTTCTTAAAGTATTATTTAATAAAGGAAGAAGGAATGATGGAAAAGAAAGTCACCATTTTGCAATCCCTAATGAATGAATGGATCTAGGCATTAAGGATCAATGGCTGTTAACATCACAGAAAGACAGCTAGCCAGACAGCCAAATGCAAGCACACACGAAGTATTCTTGCAGGATATCATCCCAGAATCAGATCAAGTTTCTTCTAGATCTAACTACTAAAATACAGGGACAAAGAGCATATTAAACAACATAAGAATACATTCAGCAAACTTCAGATCTGTGAGAACTGTGACAAATAGTCCATATTTTCAGCAGTTAAATTGTAAGGAAGAAAGATAAAAGATGGAGGGTAGCCCCATAGATAAAAGAGACTTAAGAGACCTATCAGTAAATTGAAATATATGTATGCTTATTTGATTAAAACAGGAAAATTGCTCAAATATTTTATAAGGCAACTGGGAAATTTGATAATATTAACGATACATGTTTAGTTTTGTTTAGGCATAATAATGTGGTAGTGTCACTTAAAAATGAGTATATCTTTTAGATAAGTTATATCTTGTCCAGTTAGTGAAGTGTTACAGATGAAAAGTTATCTGAGATTTGTTGTAGAATCATCTGAGTAGGTAAAGTGCGTGGATGTGTAGATGAAAAAAGGTGGCTTTTGTAGCTGGGTAAAGTGGGTTTATTAACTAGTCTTTGTTAGATATTTGAAAATTTCCCTCATAAAGTTATTACAAATAATTAAAGTGTTAATAGTGATAGAAAGTAGGGCTTCTATGTCTTTATTCTACTATGGTCTTTCTTTAATTAAAGCAAATATTGCTGCAGTTATGTTGAGGAGATTTTAGCAGTTATTTACAATTATTTTCTAGGTTTCTGATGCAAATAATATCCCAGGACTTTTGGTTCTCAAAAGCTTGGCTTATCTGAACAAAGGCTTATTAGATGAAGCTACAAAGGTTAGTTTTTTTGTTTTGTTTTTAAATTTAAACAGTTTTTAGAAGTTAAAAGTCATTTTTATGTGGATATGAAATTGACAGGTATCTGCTTTATAGATTATGGAAGACCTTCTCTCTTCTTACCCTGACCTAGCTGAAGTTCATGCCCTTGAGGCTTTGATTCATTTTACCAAAAAGGACTATCTACAAGCAGAAAAATGGTAAGAATATATATTTGCTCATAGATCCAGTCTATTTCTCAAAAGATCCAGTCTATTGTATTTCTCAAAAATTCAAATTGGGGACTGGGGTTGTGGCTCAGCAGTAGAGCGCTTGCCTAGCATATGTGAGACAGAGTTCAGTCCTTGGCACCACATAAAAATAAAATAAATGTTATTGTGTCCACCTACAATTAAAAAACAAATATTAAAAAAAAATCCAAGTGGGCTTAAAGGTCAAAGTTTGTATAATTTGGACCTTTGAAGGTTTAAATCATAGTATTTTTAAAGAAATATAGTTCAGTTATAGCATAGTAGCTATAAATTCTTCAGTAGATTTGGATAGTTGATCATAATGTTCAGTAAGTAAATATAGTGTTTGGTATATGTTCTGAACACTTAGCATGTGATAGTGGTAAAAGGACACTGCTCCTTTTCAAGCACAAATAATTTTTTCTCATTATCTAAATTCTAAAGTACTAACATTTCTGATTTGCTATCTTTGAATCACTCAAACTTTGATTTTTCTACCCAAGAAAAAGTCTCCTTTATTTTATATATTTATCTACAAAGTTTTAAAATTTTATTTTAATACTTCTTTTCATTCTCCTTCGGTGCTTAGTTTTCAGAGAGCACTTGAGAGAGATGCTGAAGTTGCTGAATATCATTACCAGCTTGGGTTAACATATTGGTTCATAGGTGAAGAAACAAGAAGAGATAAAACAAAGGCTCTTACCCACTTTCTGAAGGTAAAACAGGTGTTACTATTCGATTCTTAGTTGAAGTGGATTTTTTTTCTAAAATCATTAACAGGAATCACGTAAGTTAGGTATTTAAAACTATTCTTAACTCCTTTTTGTATATCATTTCTCACAATAAGGTTTTGTGAGAATGTTTTGTGGGTTTTTAAGGAGAAAACTAAAAGATATAAATGTTATTTTCAGAAATATGTGTTATAGAAAATGAGACAGAATTATCTTTGAGAAACAATACTGTTTTGGGATAATTTCCACTGTAATTTTATTGGCACTTAAGTCCAGATTTTTAACTTCTTGTTTTTTTCTTTTTTTTTTTTTAAGCATTTAACATCTATAAGTCTTACATTCTTAACTTGACCTGTAAGAGCTGATTAATTTAACAATGGTTCTAATTTCACATTTCTTTTGTCAAAGAGATAATAGTTTACACATCTGTTTAATTTCTGTAATCAATGAGGGCCACCTTTCATGTCTCTTTTAAATCTTACATTAAAAGATGTTTTGGCATAGTTTTAAATAATTAATAAAATTATGTATTAATCATTTTTTCTTTTAACCTATATACTCTATTTTTTCTTTGTGTTTTAAAGATAGTCATACAAAATAACTTTTAACATTTTGTTGTCTATATTTATTTAAAAGGCCGCAAGACTGGATCCATACATGGGCAAAGTTTTCTGCTATTTAGGTCATTATTACAAAGATGTAGTAGGAGATAAAAACAGAGCACGAGGATGTTACAGGAAAGCTTTTGAATTAGATGACACTGATGCTGAATCTGGAGCTGCAGCAGTTGACTTAAGTGTGGAGCTTGAAGATATGGTACGTCTAATAACCACTTTTGCTTTTTTTTTTCCTGAGTATATGAATAGAAATAATTTTATACATCTTTGAAAGTTATCATTAGTTTTTATTATTCTTTGTAGAAATAATAGATTTGTTCCTCCATTAATAAATTGGCTAAATATTCTTGTCATTGGCAGATATTAAGTCCCTCACAACTTATTATTGAAACTAGTTTGATATATACCAATGTAAGTTTAAAAAAATAAATGGGAAATGAAAATATATTTGTGTACTTTACATAGGTATTCTTTATCCTTACGATATTCAGCATGGCTAATAGTAACATTTTCTTATTAGGAAGCTGCCTTAGCTATCCTAACAACAGTAACTCAGAGGGCAAGTGCTGGAACGGCAAAATGGGCCTGGCTTCGGCGAGGACTATACTATTTGAAAGCTGGTCAACATTCACAAGCAGTGGCTGAGTAAGGCACCTTACTGTGTTAATGTTTAGATAGCATAATGGTTCCATGAAACAAATTTCATTTGTACCCAAATGACCTTACCAGGTTGTATTTTGAGAGAAGAAAAAGAAAAATTGATTTATGGTTGATTGATGCTTATTGTCCATATGGCAGTAGAATTGAAAAAATTATGATTATGTCCAGTTGTTGAGGTAGCCAGACTAGTGAAGTTAGATTTTAATAGTGACATTTATAAGTAGAGTCTCAATGGAAATATCAGTAGTGATAAAAAACTAAGGTAAAGATCTTTGTTGTTTTGTTCTTCCACTGATAGTCACTGTTTTTGGCAAAGGAGTCATTTGGCAGCTTGAAGGGCATTTTGAACAGCTCATATATGTTTAATTTAGTCATTTGGTTTGAACTGTACTTTAGGGTAAATCAAATATAATTGAATCAAAATATGGTTGTTTCTGATTTATATTAATATTTAGAACATAGCATTTTGAAACTTTCCATAAAAATGTAATTTGATTAGAAATATATAGCATGCCTCTTGTTCCTATATTTTGGTTGTGATATTTCTATTTAGTAGAAGGACAAGGCAAACTGAGATGTCCACCCATCCTGTTATAATAGAAAACTGGAAGTCTTCTAGTTCATCAAGAAAAAGAAATTCTGAACTGCATATTTCAAAAAGACTACTTTGTTCTTATTCATTCTAAATTGTAATAAAGTTTCTTAGTATTAAGAAATTCAAGTTGTAAAAGGAACAGGTATACCTGCTTTCAGTATCACTTTTATAAATAGAAGGAGCAATGGATAAATGTAACTCATTTGAATTATTTATCTCACATTTTCCTTTCATATGTGAAAATTGTTCTATTATTTTTAGTTCTCTTACTGTTTCTTAAAATTCTAGTTTACAGGCAGCATTAAGGGCAGACCCAAAGGACTTCAATTGTTGGGAGTCATTAGGAGAGGCATACTTAAGCAGAGGTGGCTATACAACAGCCTTGAAGTCCTTCACAAAAGCCAGTGAGATCAACCCAGAATCCACATACAGTGTGTTTAAGGTTGCAGCAATACAACAAATCCTAGGCAAGTACAAGGAGGCCATAGCTCAATACCAGCTGATTATTAAAAAGAAAGAAGATTACGTACCTGCTTTGAAAGGTAATTTATTTTTAAAAGATCCTTTAAGTTTTATGATACTATAGTATAGAATTCTGAGTAAATTTCCTATGTGAATGTATTAAATAACTTCAAAAGAACTTCTGTAGTCAATAGCACACATCTGATATGAATTTCTTATAGTAAAATTTATGTGGATTTGAAAACAAAAAGATCAAAATATCTTTCAAAATAGTAAATAATAATATGATAGAGATGAAACTTTTAGATAGCATAATAGCTTTTAGATCTAAAAATGGATCTCTAAAACAGATTTCCATATTCTTACATTTTGATAATTAATTTCTTGCATCCTGAGGATTTCTTAATACCTTTTAATTATTTTGTAAGTTATAGAAGCTCATTTAAAATTTTTTTAAACCTAAAGAGACATTGCATTATTTTATTATTATGTAAGTTGATTTTAGTTCCTCCATAGACATCTATTCCTTCTTAAAGAAATTTTTTTGGACATATAAGGAAAAACACTACCATCTCTCTATATAAATTTTTTGTGATTATATGTTACCATTTAAAAAAAAGTCTGGAGCTCATTATATATACTTACCTCCATTTTGTTTCCTTTATAAATAAACAATTGAAGTTTAAATCCCTAGTAGTGTTAGTTTTGAGCAACATACAAATTAGGGCTGAAAATCTACCTAAAAATAAAAAAGAAATTTATAAAACTTCTCAAGAGAAAGAGAGCTCAGAGTTTTGAAATGTGTACTAGACATGTTAGGAAATCACTATTTCATTTAATTCTTAATTTTGCTGTATGAATTTCAATATTGAAAGAACATACAACAGTTAAACAGTCATATGATAGGGAATAAGATTTACATAATATCTCCAGTTTTGAAGCTGAGGTTTTTGAGAGGAAAGTAATTATTCAAAGTCAACAAATTAATAAGTTTTATAGGTAATTTTTATAATTTTTTAGTGCATGTTTACTCCAGTAGAACCCTGACATTTGAATTCCTCATTTTAAGTATGCAAGATCATGCTTGAAGATAATTTTATAAAATACAATTAAGTTTTGTTTGGAAACTGACTTTAAAAGAACAACAGTACATTTGTTTGAAGTTCATTTTAAGTGTTTGTATTATGTATTTTAATGACAACTATAGACTTACCTGATTTTAGGTTTGGGCGAATGCTATCTCATGATGGCAAAAGCTGCTCTAGTTGATTATCTTGATGGGAAAGCCGTAGACTACATAGAAAAATCCCTGGAATATTTTACTTGGTTAGTATTATTATTTATTGTATTTATTTTCTAAATATTAAAATAAAGCCAAATTTGTAAAATAATTTGTCTTCTATTAGATATAGCAATTATTCAGAATATAAAACATAAAGAAGACTAGACAGTTAAGTTATAGCATGTATATTGTATTAATTTTGCGCTTGGAGAAACAATTTCTTATGGTTTTCATAATGGCTAGCATGCTGGATACTCAGGAAATAATAGAAAAGAGCAAAGAGCACCACACCACGAGTTAGTAACTTTCTTTCATGAGATGTGGAAATGGGGTATCTCTAAATGAAAATGATTGGGAAATGGGACTTCAGGTGCACAATGCGCTAAAGCACATTGTGGAGCCTGGAGCCCATTATATGTGCTTTTCCATATTTCCTTCTCCTTTTTAAAGAAAACAGTGAGATTTAAATCCCTAATAGGCCTTTACTCAGTGGTAAGGGCCTCTTTTAGGCTTCTTGGTGGATTTGAAGTAAAGAGAAAATAAACAATCTGATTATACCTGAAAACAAACAAAGAAAATAGTATTGTGTCTAATAATAAAGTTTTTTTTAGAAGTGTAAATTCAAGTGTAATTTCATTATTTAAACTCACTAGAATTATGGTAGATGACTTTTAAAAAATCTACAAGTCATGCTGGATTTGGTGGTGTGCACCTGTAGTCCCAGATACTAAGGAGGCTAATTCAGGAGAATAGTGAGTTCTATGCTAGATCAGTGTGGGCAACACAGGGAAACTCTATGTCAAAAAAAAAAAAAAATTCATAGACTGTTGAAATTTAAATTTTTTTTGGGGGGGTTATAGATGTAGTGCTGAGGATCAAACCCAGTGCCTTACACATGCTAGGCAAGCGCTCTGCCACTGAGCCACAACCCCAGCCCTCAAATTAGAATTTTTTTCAATATATAAACTGAAATTTTTATACACTTAAAGCATCTTTCTTTTGCTTATCTTCCTTTTTTCAGACTTGCTTTTTCTTGTTTCCTGCTAATTTGATACCCAACCTTTTTTTCCTCTCACAAATTTTTATTGCTGTTATTTAAGTCTCAACATAACATAGTTTTTCTCAAAGAAAAATTTAAAGTGAAGTGGACAGACTTTGAACTGGTATTAAAAGTAAATGTGAATCTTTGGGAGACAGTATTTTAGCTACAAATATTGCCTTACTGAACCTTCTTGAGAAGTTTTATTCTGGATAACATGTAGTACTCCCCTAATTATAAAGTGTTTACAACGTTTAAAATCATGGACCCAAATCTGTACTAAACAGGAGTTAATATTACCACAATTATTGTGTAAGAGTGGTAGGAGTTATTGTATTTTACAGATGTGTTGTTTTCATTAAACTTAAAAGGACATAAGAATTCAGGGAGTTAAAATTGCCTGTTATAATTTTTCTTTTTTTTTTCTAGTTTTCTCTTAATGCTGTAAATTTTAGAAATGTGGCTAAGAAGATATATAAGTCACTTGAAATAGTGTCCTTCCTTTGATTCTCACCATGGGTTTTCAGTCATGACTGCAATAATTAATATTTCTCAGGAAGACATTGGAAAATGATTTTTGGCTGCACTTATTTAGTAGAAAAGACTGTGAAAAATGTTCCATCTGTTTGTCCATCTGTCTGTGATATAGCAGTTTGTGATAGCTGATTATGGAGACTTGGCTTAAGTGAAATTGCAGTGTTTTAGTTATCCAATCTTGAGAAAAATGGAGAGAAGTATATAGCTCTGATTTTTCTCATTCTAAAATGAAGCACCCTCAATCTCTAATTAATATTTTTATTTACATTTTGAGCTTGTCTATTTAGTCTGCTCTTTCTTGCTTCTGTTAATGTGGATCTTCACATTTTTGTTTTTAGATTTTTGTTATTTTTGTTCTCAGGATGAAAATCTTTTAGATCACCAAATATATTTGATACATTTACTTTTTTTATTCTTTTGGGGGATGGTCTAAAAGCAAACACATGAGATTATAATAGGCAACTGTTAGGTAGTTATTTTATTGCTTTGGTCGTTGCTTAAATTTTAAAAATACATATTTTTAAAAATTTAATATTAAAAGTAAATTGTTCCTGAAAAAATTTTTTGATAATTTATTTGATTCTTGCTATTTCTAACAAAAATGAAGAAGAGTACTAAATAAGTATCTGCATAATTTTTAGCACTTAAAATAAAAAATTGCTCCTTCCTTTCTCCTTTTCTCTTTTCTCACAGATGGGAGGAGGTTAGTCAAGTATTCACAGAGCTTAACTAAGGATTAATCAGGATTACAAATATAGTTTTTCTGTTTTAATTATAAGAATAACGAAAGAGATAAACTCCAAACTTTTTGGAAATAATTTTTTAGAATCACACTGTTTCTTCTTTTAGGGCCTTGCAGCATCGAGCTGATGTATCCTGCCTTTGGAAGCTGGTTGGGGATGCTTGTACCAGTCTGTATGCGGTTTCATCATCTAAAGTGAATGTTAATATTTTAGGGGTCCTTCTAGGCCAGAAAGAAGAAAAGCAAGCATTAAAGAAAACTGAGCTCCTCCATCTTGGAGGAAGGTATTTATCAAAGATTACCAGTTAATGATTTTCAAATGAAGTAGGATAGTATAACAAACCATAACATTCACTTTTATTCTTCCATAGGTGTTACGGTCGTGCATTAAAACTGATGTCTACATCTAATACATGGTGTGATCTTGGGATTAATTATTATCGCCAAGCACAACATCTAGCAGAAATGGGCAGCAGCATGAATGATCTTAAAGAGTTGCTAGAGAAATCTTTACATGTATGGTTTTAAGAAAATTTTTTTTATAAATTAAAAAAAACTAAGTGCTTCTTTTGAAAGATATTTTTGATAAATACTATCGTGTTTTCACTTAAAATCACATTTTATTTTGATGTAAATGCTTACATTCCAAGAAATAAAAATTAATCTCATTTAACTTCTTTTCAGTGTCTGAAAAAGGCAGTGAGACTCGACAGTAATAATCACTTATACTGGAATGCTCTTGGTGTAGTTGCATGTTATAGAGGTGAGAACTAAGTAATACTTCAATATTTTTTGAGGATTATTTTTTCAAATATAAAGTTCAGTTACTTCAGACTCTGTTTGTTTCAGGTGTTGGAAATTATGCCCTTGCTCAGCACTGTTTCATCAAATCAATCCAGTCAGAACAAATTGTAAGTGTTCTATGTGTCTATTTATGAAAAAGAATTTCAAGATTTAGTGTTAACTAATTTTCTGAGAGTTCCACATAGATAAAAGGCCTAATTTTTTTAATATATATATTTTTAGAATGCTGTCGCGTGGACCAATTTGGGAGTGTTATACCTTGCAAATGAAAACATTGAGGTAAACATGTTGTCAGGTTTGTCACATTAAAAGTAAGAAATAGCTGGGTACAGTGGTGCACATCTGTAATTCCAGCAACTTGAGAGGATGAGGCAAGAGGATTGCAATTTGGAAGCCAGCCTTGGCAACACAGTGAGATCCTTTCTCAAAAAATAAAAAGGGCTAGGAATATAGTACAGTAGTAAAGCCCTTCTGGGTTCAATCTCAAGTACCACAATAAATAAATAAGCACAATTCTGATCATTTTCTTTGTATAATCACTTCATAATAGCTCAATTTCTTGTGGAGAAATAACTTTACACATTGTTATATATTTAGTCAGCTGATGATATTAAGTTTATCATGTAGGGTAATGAATTTGTAAAATTTAGTTTTCCTTACATGTCTCACAAGAAACTTCTGGTTTTATATTTAATATAGTTTTTAAAGATTAAAGCAATTTTATCATGAATTAACTGAGTAATTTTCTCTTTTTTAAAAATATTCTTTTAGTTGTTGATAGACCTTTATTTTATTTATTTATATGCAGTGCTGAGAATCTAACCCAGTGCCTCACACATGCCAGGCAAGAGTGCTACCGCTGAGCCACAGCCCCAGCCCTGAGTAATTTTCTTTTTATCTGAACATGTATTAAGAGAAGTCCTTTGAGGCTGTAGCTTAATGGTGAAACGCTTGCCAAGCATGTCTGAGGACCTACTTTTGATCCCAGTACCAAAACAAAACAAACAAAAATCCTTTATACGCTGTGTATGGAGGTGGGATGGGTAAAGGTAAGGGAGATGAATAGTATTCCCTACTAGTTGATATTTACCTTTGCTTGTGTGATTTAGATTTTGACTTCAGTGATATTAATCCCTTTGAAATGACTGTAATTCATCATAGTTGAGCAATTATACATTATAGAATGGGAATTGAAGTACTAGAAACATGTTCCTGAATCTTGTTTGGAAAGTTTGCACAAATCTATGGAAAATACCACATCTATGCTGTTTTAACCAGTGTATCAAATCTCATTCTTTAAAATAAGCTGTAATATTCTTAGGAATACATTAACTACTTCACTGCAAAGAAGACTGGCTTTAGAAGATTATAAATAGATTGAAAGAAAATACTAGTTTGGATCTTAAACATGTGAAGGGCTGTGACTATAGCTTATCATTAGAGCATGTGCTTAGCATGCATGAGGCTTGAGATTTAATCCCCAGCACCATAAAAAAATAAGTGAACATATTTTAAAAACTTTAGGTCAAACAACTTCTTAGTAAGCTACAAATGTTTTATTACAGAATGGCACAGTTATAGCTCCTGATATTACTTTTTATGGAAAAAAAAGTCTCTCTTTTGCTATACTTAGATTATCAAGAAAATAATATGTCAGTATGGAATAATAATTTGTTTTGTAGCAGAAAAAAAATGCATGTTGAAAATGTTAAAAAAAAAATGTAAGTTAATGGTCCAAGTGAGGTATCTTCAGTTTCTTGAGTGCCTATTGCAGAATTATGTTGTTGATCACTCTTTCTCTAGTAGCAGGTTCATGTCTCAGATTTTACTCCTTGGGAGTTCTTATCCTCTTAGTTAAGCTCAAAGAGAAGGGAATAGATACAGCCTTATATAATCATTTCTTTCAAAGTGATAGCTAGCAAGTGGTTGTTTGATTGGTTAAAAGTTCTGTGGAGTGCATTGTCATTTTGCTGGGAACCAGAACTAATCTCTAGAGAAATTTGTTATATCCAGGGTTGTTCTGAGACTATGTAGTTGAAGCACTGCATTAAGCATTGTCTGCTGTGCTTAAACTGTGAAGTTTTAGGCTCATATCTATTTATTATGACAGGTTTGACTTTTCTAATTCCCTTATTTTATATTTTTTAAACATAATTTGATTCCAAATTTGTAAAATTATTTAAGTGATATTTTCTCATTTCTTTTCCCTAGCAAGCTCATGAAGCTTTCAAAATGGCTCAGTCTCTTGATCCATCTTATTTAATGTGCTGGATTGGACAAGTAAGATATACAACAGAATTATTAATAAACTTATTGATATAAAATAAACTATTCACATAAGAACTGTGGTAATAATGATAATAGGTAACATTTGAGGATTTGCTCTGTACCATTCATTGTGCTTAGCTTTTTGTATACATTATTTTAGTTATTCCATCATCAATCCTTTGAGATATGACTTTTATATCTATCTATCTATCTATATATATATATATATTTCAAATATAGATGGAAATTAAAGCTCAGAGATCCTAAATATTGTACTTAAGTTCACAAGAGCTTGTAATGATTAAACTTTAACTTCATCAGTCTGCCATTGCTATGCCTAAAAAAATAAACCCAGAATTTTTCTGTTTAACTCACATTTTCAAAGATAATGCACATTTATAAAGATCATTTGATGATTGTTTTCTTAAAAGCTTTGAGTTAGTTTTGCACTTGCTTCTGAGTGTTCCCTTTTCTCAGATGTAGATTTTTGTATTGCCAGATAGGAATCAGGTAATTACTAGTCTGAGTAGGTCGCTGACTGGCTATTTTACCTTAACATATCACAACTCTGGATTTTAATTTTCACACCTGAAAATAAAGGGAATTGACTGAGTGGTCTTCAATGTCTTTCTGGTTGAGTGGTGTATTGTTTTGATTCAGGGAATAACATCACCTGTTATCAGAAAATCATTAATCAAGGATTGGACATCTTTTATTGTTCTTTGGTTTGTTGAGTCTAATTTTAGTTTATTGGTGAAGCAAAAAAGGATATAAAGGGAAACATTTGTATCCATTAAGTGTGGTAGCCTAGGGGAGCAGTGGAATTAGTGTACCAACCTTTGTGTCAGATATTGAACCCAGAGAGCCTAAGAATTTGCATTTTTGCCTGCTCCCAGGTTATGCTGATGAGGCTGGTCCAAGGAACTCACTTTAGTGGTACTATAGGTCAGTAGATCTTAGATGCTTATCAGAATCACCTAAGCTTTTTTATTTCTTTATTTTGTAAGTAATTTTGTTCTTACAAAGTAATTTATTTTAGGAGGTAATTGATATAATTAAAATGGTAGCAGTATAAGTAAACTTCTTATTTAAGCAGAGCTGGTAAACTTTTGGTTCTAGATCCATTTGTCATTATTATTATTATTTTATTTTCAACACATTAAGACCATTTTTCCCCCCTTTTGTAAGGCTCTTATTGCAGAGACAGTTGGAAGTTATGATACCATGGATCTCTTCAGGCACACTACAGAACTCAATATGCATGTAAGAATGTGAACATTCTTCTTGATGATTCATTAATGAATAAAGTATTATATTTTCTGTTTGAAGTATTATCTTTGTTAAGGAAATGAGTAGAAAGTGATAGAAGATGTTACTAGCAGTTGTTTTCTGGTTTTTATTTTTTTTAAAGATAGATAAAGTATCTTTACAGAACTAGTTCTCATGTTTCTAATAGCTTTCAAAAGTTCATGAAGAAATGGCATTAGAATTTAAGAGTTATAGTAATAGTTATAGAATAGAAACTGAGACACTAGAAAAAGTAGACATAAGGATTAGACTTGGTTGACATTTCTGGATTATTTATGAAAATATTTTAGAATTTGTTAGTTTGGTTTGACCTGTGGAAGCAGTACTGAAAAGGGGAAAATCAATCCATCTGACAAGGCTCTGTTTTCTGCCCTTATTCCATTTGATTTTCTATTTAGGATTGGAGAAAGTAATTTAAATGTGTTCTTATATTTAATCACAATGATTCTATATTTAATCACAATGGTTCTTCATTTAAAGACACTTAAGAGTTGATTCAAAGACTAAGATGTGATATTTATTGAAGTGCATTAATGTATTTCTTAATTTTTATTAGCATATTTTTTACCCTATGCCCACTTGTTAACTTTGGCTTTTTTGTAGACTGAGGGAGCAATAGGTTATGCATACTGGGTCTGCACAACATTGCAAGATAAAAGCAACAGAGAAACAGAGCTATACCAATACAACATCCTCCAGATGAATGCTATTCCAGCAGCACAAGTTGTTTTGTGTAAATATGTGGGTAAGTTACTTGTTATTTAATGACAAAATATTTGAAGAAGTATTAAAATAAAGAGTTTTTTAAACTAATTCATTCCATATTAAATATTTGTGTTAAGACTTGAATTTGCCTTTTTGTTTTATGGCCCAGTGGTCTCCTTTTTAAACTATAGCACTTTTGAAGAGTGATGAGATCAGAGGTACTGTGAAAAACAGGATAGAAAACAACATCATAGATATTAGGGGCATTATAATCTTCTTTATGCATTTAGACTGGGATACTTGTGTAGAAGAAAGTAAGTAGATTTCAAACATGAGCACTTTGGTACATTATCATGTTAGGCAGTGTGCCAGAATAAATGACAATAAATACTTAGAGCTGAAGAAGTGCTTCAGAAATTTAATTGATGTGTTTCCTTGCCAAGGATTTACAAAAAGAGATAAATCTTTAGCTTTCGGCAAAATTCACATACAAAAAACAATGAACAAATCGTTTTAACAAATATGTGTAGCTGTTTTTTTTTTAATTTTAAAATTAATTAATTTATTAATTTGGTACCAGGGATTAAACCCAGGGCCACTTAACCACTGAGCCACATTCCCAGTCCTTTTTTGTATTTTATTTAAAGACAGGGTTTTGCTCAGTTGCCCAGGGTCTTGCCAAATTGCTGAGGACAGTTTTGAACCTGTGATCCACTTGCCTCAGCTTCCCAAGCCGCTGGGATTATAGGTGTGTGCCACTGTGCCCAGCGTGAGTTTTAAATTCTGTAATAGAGTCCTATCATGTGCTTATTTAGCAAATTTAATTTGATGTACTTGGCCGAAAAAAAAAAAAAAATAACATAAGCAGAAAAGAGAGGGTAATGAGAGAAAGAATACAGACCATTTGCTGCTTTCCTTTGAGTATTGTGGCATGTGAAGGGAAAGATTTCATACTTATTTTGACTCAGTTTTGTGACCCTTGTTTGAAGATGTCAGGGATTTTTAAAGAATAACTTTGACTATGTATTTTTCACCTTATGCTTTTAGACGTTAGAACCTCACTATCACATACGATATGATTTATGTTGTACTTTGTTAAACAATTGATGGGATTTAAAGTCTTGCATCCAAGTATTGCTTTTTTAAATTTATTTTTATTTTATGGGGGATGGAACCTAGGGCCTTATGCATGCTAGGCAAACACTTACCACTGAGCCATGTCTCCAGAGCCCCAGTATAACTTTTAAGTTATATTAGATGTGTTTCTTCTTCTCTAATCTGTATAATATAGGGTAATACATGATGTTTTTGACATTAAAATTTCAAAATACTGGCTGGGCATGGGGCACTTAGGAGGCTGAGGTCAGAGAATTGAAAGTTCAAGGACAACCTGGGCAACTTACTAAGACCCTGTTCAAAATTAAAAGGGTTGGAGATGTATCTCAGTGGTAGTATGCCCTGGGTTAAATCCCCAGTGCCAAAAAAACTCCAAAATACAAAAACAAAAAAAACCCCAAAATATTGCTTTGAAAGTTCCCAGATCATCTTCTGTTTTTAAAGTGCAATACTGCATTATTATTTTTTAAATATATAGAGATTGGAACAGAACCACCAAGAGAAATCATTGCTAAATTTAATCACAGGAAGGCTTAAATGGTAACCCCAAACTGGATTTAAATATCATGACTAGCTTTAACATGAGTTAAAATTTAAAATTATACTTTAGGAATAAAACTATTTGAAATTCTAAAACAGAATAGAAACCATATGTAACTATGAAATATTATTCAGTGATTTAAAATAATTATAAAAAGATTACTGATATTTTCAAGATAAAATTAAACCATCACTCTTAATAATATCTGTGATCTCAGTAGGTAATCTGATGTTTAAGATACAGGAAAAAATGAAAAGTAAACTAATATTTTTTGTGAACATAACCAGTATGGCCATATAAAGTAAAGATATTTCTGAATTTCTAGAAAGAATTCAGAATTATGCTCCAGCTTTCACAATGTTGGGTTACTTAAATGAACATCTACAACTGAAAAAGGAAGCAGCAGATGCGTACCAAAGGTAAGATTATATATTTAATAATATAGTCATTGTTTTATCAGTTAGTCTTTCAAATTTAGTTCTATTCTCCTGAAGACTGTACTAAAAGTTTTGACTTCTTGTATTTTATTATTGCATCTTAGAAAGTGAAAAGATATGGTCCCAAATTTTCAGCTGAATTTTGGTTTCTGTTGCAGGGAGGTGAGTGAGAAGAGTAAGAGAAGGAGTTGTACAAAACAGAATCTTCTCAGATGTTGTTTTAGAGAAACCTGTCCTCTAAAAACTTGTATAGCTTTATCAGATACATGTATATACTTGAATCACTTTAGTATCTACAATATATTTATTAGTTCAATAAATATTATTGTTTTTTTTGGCACTGGGAATTTAACCCAGGGTGTGCTACCACTAAGGTACATCCTCAGCCCTTTTAATTTTGAACAGGGTCTCAAACAGTATCCTTAGCACTAGCAATTTAGTATTGAATTCTAATGGAGAGAGACCCTATTCTCCTGGAGCTCATTTTCTGGTGATAGGGGAGAGACTTGATAAGGTAATGAACATTTGATAATAATAATTGTGATAATAATAGTAAAAAAGAATTAAAGTACCGTAAAGGGCCAGAGAATGCAGGGCAGGAAGTGACATTTTAGATGGGTTTAAAAGGAGTAGGTATACTGAGAAAGAGTTGAAGCCTGACCTGAATGAGTTGAGGCCACAAACTGGCTGAGGTTATCTATAAGAGCATCCAGGCAGAAGGAATAGCAAGAGCAAGTGCTCTCAATGGAGGTGACTTGGCATAAGGAAGAAACAAGAAAGCCAGTGTGTTGGAGTTGAATGACTGGCCTGGAGAGTGGTGGGAAGTTATGTCTTAAAGTTTTGTTCTCTCCAAATTGATGGTTAGGTGGATAAGGAAGCAATTGTTGATCTCATGAATTACTAGATGAAAAGTTAAAAAGACCTGATTGCCTAGAATGTAAGTACATATTTAGAAGAAGCCTTGTCAGGTGGGATTTAGGTGTCCCAAATACTTCGCCCTATTCTTTCATGGATATCTGTGTATTTAAAGTAGTAATCACTCGATGGTACTGGAGGCGGTGTAATCAAGGACTTGTTTTCCAAGTATATATGGAGAGAGATTTATGAAAAACACAGTTTTCTTTTAGTATAATAAACAAATTATAAATATGAAAGAGTGCAACAGTGAACATGATTTTTGAACAGAAAACTAGAGAGCTATAGGGCATCTGCAATTTTTGGTGTGTTGTTAATGCAGATATGGTGAACTAACATTGCCTACACAGCAATTCCATAGTTGGAGTTGTCCTACTCTTTCTTAACTGATCTCCTCTACTGTTTTCTGCCTCAAAGAAGCATTTGAGGCTTGAAACTATAAATTTGATATAAATTTAACCAAAAGTACCATTATTGATCTCTATAATACTTTTAGGCTTATCTGGAAAATTTTTGTTTTTCATGTAACTAACATTAGGGAAATACAAACTTTTCTTGGATATTTCTCCCTGACATGTCTTCTTACTAATTTTTTAAATTAAAACTTAATTAAATTAATGTTAATTTAATTAAATTTTAATAAAATTTTTTAAATTGTTGATGGACCTTATTTTATTCATTTATTTATATGCAGTGTTGAGAATCAAACCCAGTGCCTCATATATGTGCTTTACCACTGAGCTGCATCCCCAGCCCTTAAAAAAAATTTTAATAGCATTATAATTATACATAGTATTTGGGTTCATTTTGACAAAATCATACTTGCAAGGAATTTGATTTCAATCCCTACTTCCCTTTCCCATTTTTCCTTCCCCCCTCCCTCCTTCTATTCTCCCAGTTTTACTCTACTAAACTTTCTTTCTTCTACATGTACCTAAAGGTGAAATTCCCTTAGGTACCTTTATGTATGACTATAAGATGATTTTGTTTAATTTATTCCATATTTCTTCCCCTTTCCTTTCTTTGTTTCTTGTTCTCCTTCTTTATTCCACTGATCTTCTCTATATCTATATGATATCCAATCCCACTGCTTTCTTTCCCTTATCTTGCTCTAGCTTCCACACATGAGAGAAAACATTCAACCCTTGATTTTCTAACTAACTTATTTCAGTTAGCATGATGTTCTCCATCTCCATCTATTTACTGGTACATGCCATTATTTCATTCTTATTTATGACTGAGTAAAACTCCATTGTAATACTACATTTTCTTAATCCAGTCATCTATTGATGGGCATCTGGGTTGATTCCATAATTTGACTGCTGTGAATTGTGCTGCTATAAACATTGAAGTGGCTGTGTCACCATAGTTTGCTGATTTTAAATCTTTTGAATAAATACTGAGAAGTGGAATAGCTGGGTCATATGGTGGTTCCATTCCTAGTTTTTTGAGGAATCCCATGCTGTTTCCCAGAGTGGTTTTACTAGTTTATAGTCCTACCAACAATGTAAGAATATACCTTTTCTCCTACATTCTTACCAGCATTTATTGTTATTTGTGTTCTTGATAATTGCCATTCTGGCTGGAGAGAGATGAAATTTTAGTGTAGTTTTTTTTTTTTTTTTTTTTAATTTCTTGGCCATTTGTGTTTCTTCTTTTGAGAAGTTTCTGTGCAGTTGTTTTGCCCATTTATTGGTTAGGCTATTTTTTTTTTGTCATTTAGTTTTTGAGTTCTTTATATATTCTGATATATATTATGTTTTATTAATCCTATCAGAGTAGTAGCTGGTAAAGATTTTCTCCCATTCTGCAGGCTCTCTCTTCACTCTCTTATTTCCTTTGCCGCATAGAAACTTCTTAATTTGATGCCATTCTACTTATTGATTCTTGGTTTTTGAGCTTTAGGGGTCTTGTTGAGGAAGTAGGTGCCTACACCTATATGTTGGAGTGTTAGCTATATTTTCTTATAGAAGTTGCAAGGTTTCTGGTCTAGGTTTTAAGTCTTTAATCCATTTGATTTGACTTTTGTAGAGATTGAAAGATAGGGATCTTAATTTATTCTTCTACATATGGATGTCTACATGTAGATATCTAGGTCTTCCAGCACCATTTGTTTAAAATGCTGTCTTTTCTCCAACATATATTTTTTGGAACCTTTGTCAAGTATGAGATGACTGGAAAAAGTTGGGTTTGTCTCTGTGTCTTCTGTTCTACTGGGCTTTATTTTTCTTTTGATGCCAATACTATGCTGTTTTTGCTACTCTATCTCTGTAGTAAAATTGTAGATTAAGTATTGTGATGCCTCTTGTATCACTTTTTTTGTTCAGAATTGCTTTAGCCATTCTGGCTCTCTTATTCTTCCAAATGTATTTTAGGATTTTTTTGTAGTCTATGAAGAATGTCATTGTATTTTAATGGGGACTGCATTGAATGTGTAAATTGTTTTTGGTAGTATGACCATTTTGACATTATTAATTCTGCCTATTAAGAACTTGGGAGGTCTTTCCATTTCTGAGGTCCTTTTCAATTTCTTTCTTAAGTGTTCTATAGTTTTCATAGTAGAGATCTTTCACCTTCTGATTAGATTAATTCTCAGTTTTTTTTTTTGTTTTGTTTTGTTAAAGGTTATTGTAAAGGGGATGGTTTTCTTGATTTCTTTCTCAGCTGAACCACTGTTGGAGTACAGAAAAGCTGTTGATTTATGAGTGTTAATCTTGTGTCCTGCTACTTTAATAAATTTATTTGTCAGCTCTTGAAGTCTTCTGGTAGAATTTGTTGTTCTTCTAGATGAAGGATGATGTCATCAGCAATGATAGTTTGACTTCTTTTTAAATTTAGACATATCCTTTGAATACAGAAAAGAGAAAACAAAAATCTTACTAATTTTTCAGCTCTTTTTAGTTGTGAGGCATCTTCCTTCTTGCCTTAGAGGACTGTATGAAAAAAAAAAAAACATGGGCTGTCAGCATTCTGAATCGAGGGACTTCTAATGTCCTGCCATTCTCTTCCCTTAACTCAATGTGTTTCAGTTTTTTGAATGTATAGGCAAAAGTAATGAAAACACTCAACTTCCTGTCTTCCAAATTCAGACTACTAGTTTTTTTTTAATATTTCTTTAGTTGATGGAACTTTAATTTATTTATATACAGTGCTGAGAATCGAATCCAGTGCCTCACACATGCTAGAAAATGCTCTACCACTGAGCCATAACCCCAAACCCAGACTACTAGTTTTAAGAGTATCTTCTATAAATTCAAATATGTAAAAAATGTAATCCTGTTACATACTCATTTCTCAGAGTTACATTAGAATTTTTGGAATATTTAGAACTTGAATGTGAATAATAATTTCACTAAGAATGATCTAAAAGGGAAAATATTGGGGATTGAAATGGAACAAGTTATGTTATATGCATTTATGATTGTCAGAATGAATGCTATTATTTAGTATGATTATGATACACTAATAAAAAGTGAAAGAATTAAGTGCTTATTTTATTAAAGTTAATTTCCTGACAATCTAAAACATAAATATATTTAAGTGTTTTTGTGGTATGAAATATGAATAAGTTGTTTTTGCTGGCATTAAACAAGTAGTAGAATTAAATGAAATAATAGCAGTCTGTGATCATCCAAGACAGGAAGGGTAAAACAATGCTGTTGCACAGAGATAGTTAAAATACCTTGTCCTTTTTTAAGGGCAATGTTGTTGCTACAGACTGAAGAAGATCAAGATACTTATAATGTTGCAGTAAGAAATTATGGCAGATTGTTGAGGTAAGCATATTTTTCTAATTAATTCTGTGAATCTGTTGGAATTTTCTGGTAAAGCTATGGAATTGGTAAGGTGATGATCAATGTCCAGAGCAGGGTCATGTTGGATACAGTGGTCCATAGTACCAGGCTATCTTTACACTTTCTGTACCTATAATGATGCTAAATCCTAATGTACCTTACAGAGTAGAATTAAAACTAATGGTTTGTGGACTGGATAAGAGACATTTTTGAGGAGAAGTAGTTGTTGTCTCTAATAGTAGAAACCTATTTAACTGAAAAGTTAACTGAAAGAAGAACTGGATTTATTCTGATTTGTTAATGTATTCTTAAACTAGTGAGAGACATTAGCAGTTGAGGAATTCCTCTGAAACAATAGAAAAGAATTTGGTGGGCTATGTAGAGGGAACTACAGAACTATCCTCAGGTTGCAAAGACTTTTAATGATTATTTTTTAAAAAAGATTAAAAACCTTCTAGTAAATGAATTCAGCAAAGTAGCAGGATACAAAATTAACACCCATAAATCAAATGCATTTTTGTATATCAGTGACAAATCCTCAGAAAGGGAAACAAAAAAACTACCCCATTTACAACAGTCTCAAAAAAAAAAAAAAGTACAATACTTGCGAATAAACTTAATGAAACAGGTGAAAGATCTATATAATGAAAATTATGGAACCCTAAAGAAAAAAATCAAAGAAGACCTTAGAAGGTAGAAAGATCTACCTTGCTTTTGGATAGACAGAATTAATATTATATCAAAATGACCATACTACGAAAAGCACTATACAGATTTAATGCAATTCTGATCAAAATCCCAATGACATTCCTCATAGAAAAAGCAGTCGTGAAATTCATCTGGAAAAATATGAGACCCAGAATAGCTAAAGCAATTCTTAGCAGGAAGAGTAAAGCAGGTGGCTTCACTATACTGGACCTTAAACTATACTACAGAGCAATAATAACAAAAACGGCATGGTATTAGCACCGCAACAGACTGGTAGACCAATGGTACAGAATAGAGGACACAGAGACTAACTCACAAAATTACAATTATCTTATATTGGACAAAGGCTCCAAAAACATACATTGGAGAAAATATAGCCTCTTCAACAAATGGTATTGGGAAAACTGGAAATCTATATACAACAAAATGAAATTAAACCCCTAACTCTTACCATACACAAAACTCAACTCAAAATGGACCAAGAACCTAGGAATAAAACCAGAGACTCTGTATCTAATAAAAGAAAAAGTAGGCTCTAATCTGCATCATGTAGGTTAGGCCCCAATTTTCTTAATAAGATTCCGGTGGCACAAGAATTAAAACCAAGAATCAATAAATGAGATGGACTCAAAAGTTTCTTCTCAGCAAAAGAAACAATCTGTGAGGTGAATAGAGAGCCTACATCTTGAGAGCAAATCTTTACCCCTCACACATCAGATAGAGCATTAATCACTAGGGTACATAAAGAACTCAGAAAGCTATGCACCAAAAACCCCCAAATAACCCGGTAGTCATTAAATGGGCCAAGGACCTGAAGAGATACTTCTCAGAAGATGATGTACAATCAATCAACAAATGATATTACAATCAATCAACATGAAAAAATGTTCATCAACACTAGCGATTAGAGAAATACAAATCAAAACCACTCTAAGATTTCATCTCACTTCAGTCAGAGTAAAGTGGCAGCTGTTGTGAAGACAAACAATAAGTGTTGGCGAGGATGTGGGGAAAAAGGTACACTCATACACTGCTGGTGGGAATGCAAATTGGTGCAGCCAATATGGAAAACAGTATGGAGATTCCTTGGAAAATTGTCAATGGAACCACCATTTGACCCAGGTATCCCTTTCCTCGGTCTATACCCAAAGGACTTAAGAACAGCATACTACAGGGTCACAGGCACATTAATGTTTATAGCAGCACAATTCATAATAGATAAACTGTGGAATTAACCTAGATGCCCTTCAATAAATGAATGGATAAAAAAATGTGGCATACATACACAATGGAATATTACTCAGCAATAAAAGAGAATAAAATCATGGCATTTGCAGGTAAATGGATGGAGTTAGAAAAGATAATGTTAAGTGAAGTTAGCCAATCCCAAAAAACCAAGTGCTGAATGTTTTCTCTAATATAAGGAGGTTGATTCATAGTGGGATAAGGAGAAGGGAGCATGGGAAGAATAGACAAACTCTAGATAGGGCAGAGGGGTTGGAGGGGAAGGGAGCGGGGCATGTGGTGATTAATGATGCTGGAGTGAGATGATCATTATTATCTGAAGTACAGGCATGAAGACACAAATTAGTGTGACTATACTGTGTATACAACCAGAGATATGAAAAATCGTTCTCTCTATATATAATAAGAATTGTAATGCATTCTGCTGTCATATATAAATAAAAAAAGAAAAGGAAAGGAAAAAAGACTCCTTTGGCAAAGATTTAAAATCAAGAGTCAATAAATGGGATGGATTCAAACTAAAAAGTTTCTTCTCAGCAAGAGAGACAATCTGTGAAGTGAATAGAGAGCCTACATCTGGGAGCAAATCTTTACCCCTCACACATCAGATAGAGCACTAGTCTCCAGGGTATGTAAAGCACTCAAAATTCTAAGCACCAAAAACCCAAATAACCCAGTCAGTAAATAGGCCAACAACCTGAACAGACACTTCTCAGAAGATGATGTACAATCGATCAACAAATACATGAAAAAATGTTCATCATTGCTAGCAATTAGAGAAATGCAAATCAAGTAAGATTTCATGTCACTCCAGTCAGAATGGCAGCTATTATGAAGACAAACAACAATAAGCGTTGGCGAGGATGTGGGGAAAAAGCTACTCTCATACACTGCTGGTGGGACTACAAAATGGTGCAGCCAATATGGAATGCATTATGGAGATTTCTTGGAAAACTGGGAATGGAACCACCATTTGACCCAGCTATCCCTCTCTGGTCTATAACCAAAGGACTTAAAAACAGCATACTACAGGGACACAGGCACATCAATGTTTATAGCAGCACAATTCACAATAGGTAAACTGTGGAACCAACCTTCAGTAGGTGAATGGATAAAAAAAAAAGTGACATATATATACAAATGAAATATTATTCAGCAGTAAACAAGAATAAAATCATGGCATTTGCAGGTAAATGGATGGAGTTAGAGAAGATAATGTTAAGTGAAGTTAGCCAATCTCAAAAAAAACAAATGCCAAATGTTTTCTCTGATATAAGGAGGCTGATTCATAGTGGGAGGGGGAGCATGGGAGGAATAGATGAACTCTAGATAGGGCAGAGAGGTGGGAGGGGAAGGAAGGGGGCATGGGGTTATAAATGATAGTGGAATGTGATGGAAATTATTATCCAAAGTACATGTATGAAGACATAAATTGGTGTGAATATACTTTGTATACAACCACAGAGATGAAAAATTGTTCTCTATATATGTAATAAGAATTGTAATGCAGTTTATTGTCATACAAATAAAAAAAATTAATTAAAAAAAAGAAAAAACAAGATTAAAAACCAGTTATAGAACAATGCCCAGAGAATAGAAATATTGTTAGAGGAAAGTTTATGCCTCAAGGAGGTATATTTCAAGTTTGTAACTGCTCCAAAATTGAGCAATCCAGTTTAAAGTAGCTAAATAATAGAGACATACATAAAGGAGCTACATAATAGAGACTTGAGGCAGCTGCTTCCTTTCCTTTATTACTGTGTAACTGAATCATATCCACAAACAGGAAAATTTTAATCTTCTGATTGTTTGTCCTTTCAGTTCTTTTAACTGTTAACATTTAAGCAGTGGTAGAACTCTATCCAAGATTTTGTTCAAGCAGAGGATGGATGTTGTAAAAAATTACATGGAGTAAAGTGTTTGTTCTTTTTAGTTTTGATATTTAATGTAATGGAAATATCTTGGAAGAAAATTTATATCTCCCATTGAAAATAGGACATCTGTTTTCTTTTAAATGTGGTTTTATTATGATATATTGAATAGGCAAGCATTGTTTAGTAATAAACTAGAGAGAATCAATTAATGAATAGTTACCACTAGTTATAACATCTTAAAATTCTGTCAAATTTGCTTCAGGTTATAAAGTTATGAAACTGAAACCCTGTATGGCCTTTTCTAATTTCTTTTAAAATATTGAAAAAAAAAATTTTGGTACCAGGGATTGAACCCAGAGGTGCTTGATCACTAAGTCATCTTTTTCTATTTTATTTTTTAAATTTTGAGACAGGATCTTGCTTTAGAGCCTTGCAAAGTTGCTGAGGAGGGTCTAGAACTTGTGATCCTCCTGCTTTGTCCTCTGGGGTCACTGAGATTATAGGTATGCTCCACCACTCCTAGCTTAAATTTTTTTCTCTCTACAAAAGTAATCACATTTTTAAAAAGACTATATTCATTTAAAGAAATACTTTTAATATACGTGTATGTATTCATATATAATCTGAGTTAACCATCCTTCCTTCATCAAAATACTTACCAAATTTGAGTTTATTGGTTTTATAAATTCATTAGCTTTTTAAAAACTAATATTAGAAGCAAAGGTTGCCTATGTTTTTAGCTCCTACTCATATCCTTCAAGAGGAAAAATTTTATAAAAAGATTTCCAGTAACACAATAAATAAAAATAGATTTGGATTATGGTGTTTGACCAGAAATAAAAATCTAGGAGATGTTGTTTCTATTCAGATGGTGGCAGCGGAGCTTATGTAAATAAGTTCTCTTCTTTTTTAAGTAAGCAAAACCGTTATTTTGCTGTTATTAGTAAGCATTGTACTTTAGTACCATATATTAACAATTTATACTTTTCTCTCTATTAAACACAAAAAGATAATGAATAGTATTATCTGTAGAATTTTAATGTTTCTCTGTGCTCTCCAAAAAAAATTTATTTGGAGATAAATAGTTTACACCAAGATTGGGTTTGATTCTGACTTATGACTTATTAAGCTTGTCTGAGATATTATAATCATAGGATGCTATTTAACTAATATATTAAGCTTAGAAAATTAGAATTCTGTGAAATGGATATCTTACCCTGTGTACATATATGAAGACACAATTGTGTGACTCTACTTTGTGTAAAACCAGAGATATGAAAAATTGTGCTTTATATGTATAATATGAATTGTAGTGCATACTGCTGTCATATGTAACAAATCATAATAAAAATAAAAAATAATAATTAAAAAATTAGAATTCTGTATAAATGTCAACCTGAAATTATTCTTATAACTTGGGATTTTAATTAAAGTTTGTTAGAGACAATTCTTTTTCACATGTAATTTTTAAAAAACAATGTATTGAAGTTAAAATCCCCTTGGTACATTCTATTTGTGATATGCCTTCTGTTTTCAGTCTTTTCTGCATCTTTAACAGAAAAGATGAATTGCCACTATAAAAAGGGAAGGGCAGGTAAAGTTATTAAAAGTACTAGTGTAGATAACTCTCTATTTTGATGCTGCAAGCCAAAATTTTCTTTTATATTAAAAATAAATTGTATTTGTTTCTTAGTTCCATTGGTGAATACGACAAAGCTATCCAGGCTTTTAAGTCAATACCTCTCGAGGAGTTAGAAGACCTCATAGGCTTTGCATTGGCTTTATTTAAGAAGGGGCTATATAAAGAGAGCAGCAAAGGTAAGGCTGTTGCTTAAAGGATATTTCTTTTCCAGTGTTTACTCATAATGAGCTTTTTATATAAAGAAAGATGTTATATTGAGATGGGGGTGAGGGTTGTAGTATTTATTAAAATCTGACTAGTAGTCAGGAATCATAATGGTCACTTTTTACATATTACCTCATGTAGTATGTTATAATGGTGACTAGTCTTTTAGTAATACTCAGCAATGAGCTGAATATTCTACATATGAGGGAACTAAGGGCCAAGATAATTTATGGTAGACATGTGAGTTAGTATTTGAAAGTAGGTATTTACTATTCTATGCTGCTTAAGTGAAAATTTCTGATACATGAATATAAGTTGGTATAGTAGATACTGGTTTCTCCAAAAATGTTAACTGATAAATTTTTAAATATATGGGCCCCACCTACATGTGTGTAGCTCATTTAAATATCCTCTGCTTAATGGAGGTGGTGGTCTGTACTGGAAACTTTGATGACATTTCATTGGCTACAGGCCTCCACTTCTAGCTTTTAAAGGTGGCTCTTAGAGATAGTGAATCAGACCTCTCCATTGATTCTACCATTTAGATACTAGATGGTACTAGAAGATGGGGCTTATCACACAATAATCCAAATCATACCACTGACTCACCTTGGAAATGCTAAACCAAGGTGGATTATTATAAGTTTTTTATTCTGTCTACTTTAAAATAAGGGAACAGTAAGATATGATTTTAGTTGGGTCTTTTTGAAAAATGGGATTGTCAGTCAAAGTTGTTTTAATATTTTGTTTGTTTCTAATTCTCTGTGACAGCATATGAAAGAGCCTTGTCTGTTGCTGAATCAGAGCAAGACAAAGCCTATATCTTGACAGCTCTGGCAATAACAGAATATAAACAAGGAAAAATGGATATAGCCAAGTCACTGCTATTCAAATGGTATGTATGGATGACATCAACACTTAACATGACCTGATACTTAAATATTTAGGTTAAGATTTGGAGCAATGTAAAATGAAGTTCTAAGTGTTTCAGGAACTTTCAGGTGGTTCTGAATTGACAATCACAGGTGGAGCTAGATATCATGGTTTAATTCTCAGATCTGGATTCCCGATCTTTAAAAATCATCCTCTGCTCTGTGTATGTTTTTTATGATGATGATGATGATGTTATTTTGTTTGTTTTTAAGAGTAATTAATTACATAACTGATGTAGTAGGAGCTTAAACTTTTAATGAAGGCAATTGTAACTCTTTACTTTTTGAACTCTTGGATCCCCAATGAGACTTTTTTTCCTCCCTTCCTTCCTTTTAAAGTTAACCTGAAAAAAAGTTCTTTTGAAAGTGAGTCTTTAAAAACAATTATGTCAATGGAACTTGTAACTATTCTTATGTTTTGGGGTCAAGTTAATAAGATAATAGCTCTGATACCTCTGGTTATTTATGTAATATTTTTTGACTTTTTGAGCTTTTTTTTTTTTTTTTTTAAATTGGCCTAAATTTCTTACAGAGCAGGAGGTGATCAATATATGTCCTTGAACATTGGTTGTCATTGACTACTTTATTGGCATTTTGACTGATACATATTCTAATAGCACACAAGTTTCCCTCCCCTGCAGAATACTTATATCTCTGCCTCCCATTCACTAAATGCTAATATCATTCCTTGTTCATTATGACAATCAAAAAAATTACCTCCATAACTGTTCCCCTCAAATGAGGGGGAAGGGAAATGATTAGATGGTACTAGTTGAGCCACTTCTGTAGATCAGCTTTTAACTTAGTTATTCATTGCAATACTTTTATCTAATCCTGCCTAATTAAAGTCATTCCCTTGTATAATAAGTAAGAAATTCTTTCTGTTCTTCTTTGCTTTTTTGAGAAAACTAATCAATTTAAACGACAATCCAGGTACTTTACATGGATACATCCTTGTAATGTACATGAATTTGTGGTAAGACTCATAGTTGCTAATGAATATTGGCAGTTATCAGGGATAAATTAACCCAAATTAGACCCCAAAATTTGTGGTTATTACTTTTAAAAGTAACAAAATCAGTTTGAACATTGGAAATAGAGAAAAAAATAGCAAAATGTAATCTTTCCTTTTTCCTTTCTTCTATGAGAAGGAAACTTAAGGTTTTCCTTCTTGTATTATATTGTTGGATCCAGAGCTAGATGTTTTGTTTCTATTTGATTCTTTATGTCATCATCCAAGTAGCACTACTGAATGCTCCAGTTCCTACCTTCTTGGCATTCTTTGACTTTATATGAAGAGATAAGATTTATTGGTCTTGTTTGCCATTTGTATGTTGAAAACTGAGCAGTATCCTAGATGCTTATATGGGGAGAGTAGGAGTAAATTCATCATATAAGGGGGAAAAAATCGAATTGCCAATTTCATAGACTTTACAGTATTGAATAAACACATGTTAATCCCTGGAACATGGTAAAAGGCAACATGCAGGTACCAAGCATTTCAGTACATGTTTGCTTGTTACTGGAATGTATTCATTTTTGTAATGATTTAGATTTACATATTAGTATTAGAGTAGATAGGTTTTATTCCTTTTGAGCAAAGGCACAAATTGGAATTTCTTTTGTTATTAATATTAAAACTTATATATTGCTATATACTTTTATGCTATCTTTGTTGTACCAAATGGCAGTATATATTTATAGTGATAGAAATGACACTGACATCATACTCCATGTTTTTACTTCTACCTTTTAAAATTCTTTATTGTGAAGGGTTACTGTAGGTATTTTAAGTAAGCTACTTACTCCAGAGCTGCTTAGGAAAATTCATGATTTTATACCCGATGATCAAAATTAAGTGCAAAAGAATTAATTCCCCCTTCCAACAAATGGTTCAAAGACCAGTATAAATGCTTTTGTTATATTTTAGTGAACTTTGTTTAAAAAGTTTTTGAAAGCTTCTTCATTTTATTACAGTACACAATTCATAATAATTATTTAAAAGTATCATTTAGTTTATAGAGAGCTAAGAATTCTTCATTTAAATTAATATTCTTAAAAATTATTTACTTTTTCTTCTTTAAGTCTAAATAAGCCTCACATTTTACAGGTGAAAAAGGAAAAAAATCTACATTTTTTTATTGTATGTTTTACATTCACGATATTTAAATTCTCCTTAAATTATAAAAATGTTTATTTGAAGCCTACTGGATGTAGCTACATTGTGCTTATTATGTAAAGTGCTGGTGTCAGTATCACCAAGCAAATAGGACAAGAGTTCTATCAGAATGATAAAAATCAGATCTTATATTAAACAGATTCTTCTTTTTTTTTTTTTAACTATTCATGCCTTCCAGGATCTTATTGAAACTGAACATTTTAGCAAATTTGTTCTAATTTAACTAGAACTGAGACCCAAAGAAGCTGATTTACATTTGCTTCTAAAGAATGGACAGAATGACCAGAGAAGAAATTTGGCTATTATAGGTCTACGAAAAGCCATTAGCACTTTTTATCAGCCAGAGAAATTGCTATCTATAAAAGCCAAGAAAGTTTTCTTATATTACTGTTAAAACTGGCTTATTTGATGAATCTTTAAGTAAATTGCTTTTTGTATTAATCGTCTTTTACTATTATAGATAAAACTACTATACTGATAGCTAACAGTTATAAAACTGTGTTTACAGCTCTATTTTAAAGGAACCAACCATAGAAAGCCTTCAAACCCTGTGTGCTCTAGGATTGGTAATGCAGGATGCTACACTGTCTAAAGCAGCACTTAATGAGTTACTGAAGCATATCAAACACAAAGACAGTGATTATCACAGGTGCCTTCTTACTTCAGCTATTTATGCACTCCAAGGCCGCAGTGTGGCAGTACAACGGCAAGCGTCTAAAGCTGTTCACAGGTAATGTGGTTATGTTTGTCATTTGGTCTTTAGTAAGATGAGGTAACCATGTGTATATTGGAAACCAGACTCTGGCTCTTTGAAATTATACATAGGACCAGGCAACTGACTTTACCAGTTATTTTTTCTATAAGGATCTTTTTAATTCAGTTGATAAATTTGGCTCTTACTTGGGTAAAAGCCCAAAACTTGTTTTGATGTAAAAGCTCTTATTTCCTGCAGTTTGTAATATTTTTAGTCCGTTATCTAATACAGGGCAGGTTGATGGCTTTAGGAACTTGGGGGCCACTTAAGTATTCATTAATGTCTCAAAATTTGGACAGCAGAAAGCTGTCATTATCAATAGTGTTTATTTTATTTTCAGAATGTTATGTCTGTTATTTCTTTTTCTTCAATAGTTCATTATTAATAATCTTTGCTAATTATATATTCAAAAACTTAAATTATTTTAATATGAAACTTACTTCTTATGATGTTATTTTGATTAGAGTACATCCTCTTATAATTCTTTTTATCTCTTTGTGTTTTCTTTGAACATAATACATTTCCTTAATCTTGTAAAATACATTTCTTTGAACATAATTACATTTTCTTAATTTTTCTTACTTGTTTTGTGGTTTTGGGATCCTCCTGTTGCTGATTTTTTCTTTGTATTTTTGTAAGAACTCTTAATGAAATTTTTCTTTGTATTTTTATAAGAACTCTTAATGAAATTTGTTTTCTAAAATTTAAGGCATTTCCAGTCATACAAGGATAATTCATATGACCTTGTCCTAGGTGTCAGAAAGGTTTTAAACTTAGTAAAATGTTGGTTGGTTGTAGTTTTTTGATTGAAGTAACTCCCATTTCTAAGGCCATTACTTTTGATGATCTCTGTAGTAACCCAGCTGATCCTGCTCTTTGGTCTCTATTATCCCGAGTTGTTGCTCAGTGTGCTCAACAAAATGCAAAGGTGAGTAGTGTTCTAAATTCTGGAAAAAAACATAACTTATGATATTGTAAACATAATTATACTGTATAGCATTATTTTTCTGAAATATAATAAATACAGTGAAGGGAGTTTTGTCATTTAACAAAATGTTCCATTATTCATACAAGTCCTAGACTGAGTTTTCTCCTTGTACTGTTGTACCATTTAGGGTGTTTTGGAAGCTACAAAGAAGTTGGAGGTCTTTTTTGAACACATATGTATTGTGTTAATGCCTATATGTTAAAGTAATGTTCAAAATATAATAAACATTAGCTATTATGGTTTTAGTTTCTGTACCTGCTTTATCAGGTGTTTGGTGGCTCTACCAATGTAGAGCCTGAGGTTTCTAGACCAGCCAGGGTACTTTTATCTGGATTACAAAGTCATTTGAGACTTTACCTCTAATTTATACCTTTGAGTCTCAGCTATTCTATTATAGATCCTTTTCTCTTATCCTTATGTACCACCTTCCTTGTTTGAGCCCTAGGCCTTAACTTCTGTCCCACTAGGACTCATGTCCTTCAAGGTGACAAGTAAAATTTGTTAACAGTCTGAAAATGGCAGTTATCAGGGATAAAATAAACCCAAATTAGACCCAAAAGTTTGTGGTTATTACTTTTAAAAGTAACAAAATCAGTCTGAACATTGGAAATAGGGAAAAAATGGCAAAATGTAATCTTTCCTTTTTCCTTTATTCTATGAGAAGGAAACTTAAGGTTTTCCTTCTTGTATTATATTGTTGGATCCAGAGCTAGATGTTTTGTTTCTATTTGATTCACTTGCATCTCTAGATTCCAGTTTTCTCTTTTTTAGTTTTGGCCCAAGTCCTTAATGTCTTGACAGTTATTCAATGCCTTTAAGAAATTTGTTTTAAAAATATTTTATCCTAGTACTTCTCAAACTTTAATATGCAATAAAATCACCTAGTAATTTCATTAAAGTACAGATTCTAATTTAGTAGTTTTGAGTAGGGCCTTATATTCTGTGCATTTCTAACAACCTCCCAAGGAATGTTAATGCTGCTGATATGCAGATCATGGTTTGAGTATCAAGATTTTATCCCATAGTTTTAGTTATTTTTGATAGATGCATAGGTTCATAGAACCCAAATGGTCATCATTATTAGACACTGGAATGAAGTGTCTAATAATGTGACTAAGCGTTTTAATATATTGTCATATAATTTCAACAATTATATGAAGTAAGTGCAATTATTGTCCACTTTATAGAGTAGGAAATTTGAGATATAGAAGGTGACTTGTACAAAATCACAGTTAGTAGTCGTTGTGACAGGATTTAATTCAAGCTTTAATTCCCAAATCCTTCTCCTGTTGTACTATGTTGACTTTTTTCTTTTTAATCTTTTGTTTTATTTCAAAATATTTTAAAGCTTATGTTTTAGGCATTTTTAATGTACAGAGTCTGATACACTTCTGATATGAAAGGTACAGTATACATCTGATATAAAATGAAACCATTCTTATAATTCACTTTCTTTTCTAAAAGTAAAATGTTGAATTTTTAAAATTATAGATTTCAAATTGACCTTATGAAAACTTTCATGATGTTGCGTATATGTACATATACATATACATATATGTATATATATATTATTTTGGATATTGAGTTGATTATTGTAGCAATGGTAAGCTTCATGGTGCTCTCAGACTTAGTTATTCATTTTACTAGGGACTATGGAGTTTTTAAAATACTATGTATTTTTGTGGTATAAAATCATACTAGTTTATCTTTGTATTGTTCTCTGTCTCCCTTTCTTTCTTCTATACTCTCTTATATTATTATACATTTATACATGTGTACATTTGTTTGGTGCCACTGTAAAATCATGTAACTTTTGAACCTTTGATGAGTATTTTAATTGCAGAGTTGAAATGATCACAGTATAAAAGGTTTTCTCCCATAAAAATATTAAACTGTTCTTTTAAAGTAGTAATAATAAATTGATACTTAAGGGATTCAGAAGTTACAAATGAGATAAAATTGAATCTTTCAAATTATTTAATGAAAAGATTTTATCAGTTTTAATGTTTACTATTTCATAAAAGTTTATGCATTTGTCTAATCAGTATTTTCTCTTACAGGGGGGTGCTGTAGCAGGAAATGTGGCTCATATTCTGGACTCAAATCATGGAAAGGTTAGCTTACGCTAGAACAATGGAAATTTTTAACATGTTAATTAATGATGAAATAATAAAATAAAAATTTTCATAGCTTTTTGGTCAGTTTGATCCTTTTCTCTTATCTAGAAGGCATTGCTGTACACTGCAATAAATCAGTTGGCAATGGGAAGCAGTTCAGCAGAAGATGAAAAAAATATTGCACTAAAGACTATACAGAAGGCAGCTCTCCTTTCTCCAGGTAAATATATTATAATCCATTTAATTACTTCAGATTCTATCAATCTTGCATTTATGATTAAAATTCCCTTTTACTTGTTCTCAAGTAAAAGGGAATTTTAAGACAATGTCTTAGTGCATATTATTTGCTTGTTCGTATTTGGTTACTGATAATTAAGAGGATTTAATTATCAAAACAGGCTTAAAGGGAATGTGTGTTTAAAGATACTTTATAACTTTGTAACTGAAAATCAAAATTATGAATTTTCAAGAAATAGTTTTACTTCTATTTTCTATATATATATATATATGTGTATATATATATATACACACACACACACTAAATTATGTAATAATGCTTAGTTATTTTTATGTACAGGTGTGTGTCTTTGTGGTAACTGTTAGAAATGGCAAGGTCATGGCCTTACCCAAGCTAGCTGTTATTAGTTCCAACCAGCTGTGTCATATATTGCCATTGACAATAAAGGTAATGAGGAATTGCATATGACTGCTTTTGTGTATTTCCATTACCACTACTGAAAAATGTCTTAGAAGAATGAAATTTATAGCAATGTAAGTCTATAAGGTGAACTACACATATTATTATTTTAAATATGAAATATCACATCAAACAATTTCTTACTCTCAGAACATTTGAAACATTTTTTAGATCAGTATTCTATTGTTTGGCCAGGCAGTATTGGGATGCAAATTATACAAAGTAAGTTCAGTGTTTGCAATAAATTGTAATGGTCCTAACTAAGCTGCAAGATATCTTAATATTTCAGGGATTATTTTATAAAGCAAGTAAATAGACCAATGCATGTTATATTTTCTTTCATTTTGACATGATTAGACAAAAAAGAGACCTAAACATTTGAATTTGTCTATGATATATATTGACAAGTTTCTCTTGTTAGAGGTGTTCTCAAGTAAATACTAGATAAACTTACTCTCAAGAATTCTTATTATGTCTCCAACATGATAGAAGATCTGTTAGTCTTTGATTATATAAATGACATAAACTTTAGGAAGGTGATTGTCCAGATAAGGTCCTTTCTAGTGATCTCTGATATTTCCCCACATTACCTGGAGAAATACATACTCGAAGAAAGCAAAATCATCATGTAAGATGTTTAAAACAGGGACCAAGTAGTAAAGCATGCATAACTTGTTTTTGGAGACCAATAAAAGTGAATATAATTATAATTAGTGTAGTGGCTATATATCTAATTCTTGAGATCTTTAGTTAAGCAAAGTACAGATTTTACCATAAGGAATGTTTTCAGGAATTTAAAGATAACTCTTTATAAAGAGTTTAGAATTGAATGGAAGAAGATCCAATTTCTGCTAAATTTATGTTTCTAAGAGATATTTTTAACTTTTAGCAATCTGTATTTAAAGAGTTTCAGGTTCATAGTTTATATATTTTTTCTAGTATCACTTTATTTCACAGGGAATTTGCGTTACTGATTATCTATGGAAGAGTTCATGGAACTAGGGCTGGGAATGTCGCTCAGCACTAGAGTGTTTGCTTGGTGTGCGTCAAAATCCCCATCACCACCCAAAAATAAAACTAAAAAAGAGTTCATGGAATTGGCAGTTCTTCTGTATTGTGGCAGAGGAAATTGCTCCCCACTAATGTCTGTCCCCTAACCAGAAATATTAACTATAGAATACCTTAAGATCCCCATGGACTGGGGCCAGGACTCAATGGTAGCACACTTGCCTGGCATGAGTGAGGCACTGCATTCTATTCTCAGCACCACATGTAAATAAATAAAATAAAGGTCTATCAACTAACTAAAAAATATATATATTTTTAAAAAATCTTAAAACAAACAAACAAACAAAGATCCCCAAAAGGCCTGTTGATTTAATCTTAGGAGTTAAGTCAGTATTCAGTCTATGTCAGATGTAATTATAGGATTTTAGACCTAAGGGCGCTTCAGCCAATGGATAGTTCAGTTGCCTTGTTTTACAGAAAAATGAGTCCCAAAGGGAAAGCGCCATACTGTTAATTTGTGACATTGCTAGACCTAAACTCCAGCCCTGAAACTCAGATCATTTTACAGTAATTAGTTGTCATTGTACATTCTAAGGGCTGGTCCTCATTTGTTTATTCTGGAGTTTGATTATGTCTTCTGTTACTTAAAAGGAGATAGTCATTATCTGGGAAGAAATTATTTTGTAATATGGAAGTATACATTTAATTTTTTGTGAAAATTTTTTTTAATCTTGCATAAGATTTTTAATGATTTTTGTATTATGAGCAATAATACTGATCACCTATAAGTGAAATAGGTATATAGTGCAGACATTTGATAGGAGACTTATTTTGGATGGTCTAGTGAAATAGAAAAAAATAAAAAGAAAGCTAAAAGGTATTGTTAAAAGACTATGTTGTTAACTAACACCTCCTGAGATTTTAAAATTATCCTTTTGTTTTTTAATGGTAACAAGACAAAAGTATTAACTGATGAAGTAAACTACAAAATAGGATTTTTAATAGTAAAAGACCAAACAAATTTAAAAAACAAACAAAAAACATAAGTTCCAAATCTTCTTTCAACTGTTTATTTTTTCAACTAATTTCCTTAAACAGAGTTTATACATCTAATCTCTTTCTGTTATCACCTCTTCAACTCACTATCAGGTGTCCCCTCTCACCTGAAGCTGCTGTCCAAGTGAGAAGGAAGAAAAGATCAGATGAATGAAGTGATACATAAGTGCATAAATGCCTTATTTGTAATGATGGAGTGTCTGTCATGCCTTCTTGGTAGAGAAGAGATAAAATGTTAGCCTTTGCTTTGTCTCATCCTTTCCTAAGAACTTAAAATCTGGGCTGGGGGTATGGCTCAAGCGGTAGTGTGCTCACCAGGCATGTGCGCGGCCGAAAACTATAAATAAATAAATAAATATTAAACCCCCCCCCCTCTTTAAAAAAAAAAAAAAAAGAACTTAAAATCAGTGTAATCTTGTTTATCCTGAGTGATAAAAAGGAGCATCTATCTGAGCTTGTCCTTGGTGTCTAGTGAAAGGGAATGAAATTGCCCCTTCCACACACTTCACTCTAGGTATCTGAGTTGACCGGCTTTTGAAGAAGAAGAGCATGATAAGATATTTTTCCTCCTCTAATGTTCTGGAGGGGGGGGGCAGGAATCTTTATTTACTTATTTATTTTTGGTACCAGGGATTGAACCCAGGGGCACTTAACCACTGAGCCACATCCCCAGCCCTTTTTTAATATTTTATTTAGAAATGGGGTCTCGCTGAGTCTTTGAAGCTGGCTTTGAATTTGTAATCCTCTTGCTTCAGTTTCCCGAGCCACTGGGATTACAGGAGTGTACCACCAGTAGTAATCTGTTTTCTGAAAACAATTTAGTTTTTGTTTAAGGAAGTGAATTTTTCTGAATATATAGTTGATTTTTATTGGGGGGAGGTGCTACTTAGAATTCTTATTCTAAGTTTTGATAGCTTTTTGACATAATGTTATTAACAATCCTTTTAACTATGTTTCCTGTATTTAGGTGACCCTGCTGTCTGGGCTGGACTGATGGCAGCCTGTCATGCTGATGATAAGCTGGCTCTAGTGAACAACACTCAGCCAAAGAGGATGGATTTATACTTGGCACTGTTATCTGCTGTTTCTGCTTCAAGTAAGTTTAAAGAAGCATTTTAAAAATACATGATTTAATTCAGGTTCCTCAAATGATTAAATCAGGAACACAAATAACTGAGCATATATTGTTATAAAATGTGTTCATTAAAGAATTCATAGTTGTTAGGCTGGGACTATAGCTCAGTGGCAGAGCACTTGCCTAGCATGCATGAGGTACTGGGTTTGATCCTCAGTACCACATAAAAATAAACAAATGAAATAAAGGCATTCTGTCCAGCAACAACTACAAAAAAAAAAAAAAATCACGGTTTTAGCTGTACAGAAATGTGATGAGTGTACTGTACTTTTCTAAATAGCTTTAAAGTCCATTATATCTGGAAGCTGAGTCTTTGTTGTATAGCATTTACCTGTTTTGAGACTTAGCCAGTGTTTGGGGATTCAGGTGACTTGGAAGTCTTTACTGAAACCAGCTCTAAAAGTGTACTCTGATTCTTCCTGGGAAAATTGGCCAGAGTAGCTGTTAATCTCCTCAATATCACTTATAATTCTGCAGATCTGTTCATTGAAAAGTGATCTATAATTAACATCTTATATAATAGCATAACGTATCATTTTTTTGTCTTGGGACAGTAGTTTTTCACTAAATTAATTTTAGATTATCAGTTATTTTTTTGGTAAATGTTAAAGATCATTACTGCCTCTCTCTTAGGAACTACCAGGGCAAATTTTTAAAAAGTAGGTCCTTCTTTAGTGGCATTGTAAGATTGAAGTATTTTAATAATGTGAACTTAAAGTATAAGTCAAAAATATGATACAGTCTCACTAAGTTGCCCAGACTGGCCTTGAACTTACAATTCTCCTGCATCAGTCTCCTGAGTAGCTAGAATTTACAGGTATGTGCTACCACACCTGGCCTTGTCTTCCATTGTTTTTTTTTTTTCCTTTTAGTTTTAATTCTTCACTTTATGTGATTCCATTTTGTCCCCATTTTTAGTTTATCAGTTATACTTCTTTTATTTTTTATTTATATATATTAAGTTATTGCCCTGGAGTTTGCAATGTATGCTTAAAACTAATCTAAGACCACTTTCAAATAACACCGTACCACTTCATGGGTAGTATGATAACCATATAATAAAATATCCTAATTTCTCTCTCCTGTCCCTTATATCCCTGTTGTCACTCATTTTGCTTATACATGAGCATTTATCAGCATTCATACACACATGCACTTAAGCATACATAACTTATGAAATTATTGTTATCTTTTTTTTTTTTTTTTGGTACCAGGGATTGAACCCAGGAATGCTTAATCACTTATCCACATGTTTTATTTTGAGACATAGTCTCTCTAAGTTGCTGAAGACCTTACTAAGTTGCTGAGGCTGACTTTGAACACATAATCCTGCTACCTCAGCTCCTTGAACTATTGGGATTACAGATATTCACTACCATGCCCAGCACTATCATTATTTTGAACAAGTATTATCTGCAAAAACTAAGCAAACAAAAAGACTTATGAGCTTGGGAATATCGAACCCGATATTTAAATAATCTTTAATGTAAGCAATGCTGTTATTGTGGTATATAAGTTATTTATTTAGGATTTAACATGTCCTTTTGACTTGGGTTTTCTCAAGTAATATTCTGAAAAATTTAGGTTCTGAATGTAAATAACCGAACTAAGAAAATATAAAATTAAGAGTGAAGACTATCACTGTTCCATTGGAACAAACTATAAAAAGAGGTATGGGACTGGGGTCGTAGCTTAGTGGTAGAGTGCTTACCTAGTATGTGTGAGACACTGGGTTCAATCCTCAGCACCACATAAAAATAAATAAGTAAATAATGTATATAAAAAAAGAAGAGTATAATTGTGTTTCTTTCTCAAACTTTTATCAAAGATGTTCACTACCTACCTTTCTTCTAGGCACCAACTTCTCAGTCATTGGGAAGGAAAAATGACCTATTTTCCTATTTCCCTGAAACACAGATATTATACCCTAAAACAGAGATACATACGTAAATACATGCATGCATATGCATCTCCTTCCATATACGTATACATAGAAAGTTTCTTTGTCTTTGAAATTAAAGCTGTTTTTATTTGCAGATATGATTATGTACATAGAAGCAGTTTAGGAAATTACCAAAAAAAAAGCCACTAGAACCAAGAATTAAGTTCAGTGTGTTTACAGGATGCAAGTTCAACACAACAAACTTGATAGTATGATTATATATCAGGGACCAAAAGTTGCCATTAAAATAAGCTACTTAGGGCTGTGGTTGTGGCTCAGTGGTGGGGCACTTGTCTCACATGCGTGAAGCACTGGGTTCGAACCTCTGCACCACATTAAATGAATAAAGAAAGATATTGTGTTCATCTACAACTAAAAAAAAATATAAAATAAGCTACTTATACTCCTTATAAAAATATATCCTTATTGCATATAAAATATTAAATATGTAGAGATAACAAAATATGTGTAAGTCCCATATACTAACAAGTACAAAATACTGTTGAGAGAAATGAAGTACACAAATATTAATGGATCAGAAGATTCAGTATTTTCAAGATGCCAATTCATTCTAATTTTTCTTTATGGGAGATAGTGGTTTAATGTGTTGCCTTTCAGGGTAAGATTTGTATTTTGTTAATTAACAAACTATTTCCAGTCTTCTGTAAACTCTGAAGATTCTTATTCCTCCTTTTGATTTTTTTTTTTCCTGGCCTCAGGTAGTTTTCCCACAGTTGTGCTGATCATTTGTGAGCTAAATAATTGAGGAGTCTTTTTGTGGATTTCTGGAACTCTTTTTGCAACTGTCTCCTCCCTAGTACTATGCTCTAGAACTCTTTCCTGGTTTTCCCAGTTCATCTCTTCTATTTAGGGAGTTTTTTGGGCTCTACTGGGGCTCATCTTATTTGTTTCCCCTCTCACAAAGAGCATTGTTTTGCATAGATTGATAACTGAGAAAACAGTTAAACAGAAAATCAGTAAAGAGGTCTTAAAGACTTGAAAAACACTGTCAACTAACTTGACCTAACTGACATTATTATTATTATTGCACTTTTATTTTTTATTTTTTTTTAAAGAGAGAGTGAGAAAGGAGAGAGAGAGAGAGAGAGAGAGAGAGAATTTTTAATATTTATTTTTTAGTTCTCGGCAGACACAACATCTTTGTTGGTATGTGGTGCTGAGGATCGAACCCGGGCCGCACGCAAGCCAGGCGAGCGCGCTACCGCTTGAGCCACATCCCCAGCCCCGCACTTTTATTGATCTATTTCTTCTGACAGTTAAATGTACCCTTCAAGTGCACACTGAACATATACCCAAATAAATCATATTATGGACTATAAAACAGGCCTCAATAAATTTAAAAGTGTTCAGATTATATAAAGTATGCTATCTTAATAAACTGGAATTAAATTAGAAATAAACTGGAAAGTTCTCAAATACTTGGACACTAAATAACATATTTCTACATAATCTAGATCCAAGAACAAGTCAAGTGGAAATTAGAAGAATATTTTGAAATGAAAATAAATACAGCATATCAAAATTATGCAAAATTGCAAAGCACTACACAAATGGAAAATTTTAACATTAAGTGTCTATAGTAAAAAAAGGAGAAGCACTTTCTTGACATCAGTGATCTCAGTTTCTACCTTAAAATCTAGTGGATGGTGATCCATAATGGAGGGGGGGGAATGGGAAAAATGGAGGAACGTTGGGCAAAGGGGAAGGAGGTATGGGGGCAGGAAAGATGGTGGAATGAGATGGACATTATTACCTTAGGTACACGTACAATTGCACATATGGTGTGACACAACATCATGTACAATCAAAGAAATGAGAAGTTGTGCTGCAGTTGTGTACAATGAATCAAAATGAATTCTGCTGTCATATATACCTAATTAAAATAAATAAACAATAAATAAACAAACAAACTAAAAATCTAGAAAAAGGAATAGGAAATTAAATCCAAAGTAAACAGGAAAAAATAAAGAGTTGAAATCAAACAGAAAATTAATGAAAAAAATGAATTCTTTGTAAATCACAATAACATCAATAAACTTTTAGCCAGATGGATCAGGAAAAAGAAATTGTTAAGATACAAGTAGAATAATAAAAAAGGTGAATAAGCACCTTGAGCATCTTTATGCCATGACATTTGATGACTTAAGGGAAAGTGAACAAATTCCTTAAAAGACAAAAAGCTTGCTCAAGAATAAATAAATTGAATAGCTATATATCTATTAAGGACATTGAAAATCTCACAAAGAAAATTCTAGGTCCAGATGGATTTCACTTAAAATACTACTAAGCATTTAAGAAAGAGGCAATACCAATTCCATACAAATTCTTCCAGAAAATCAAAGAGATGGGAACTCTTTATAATACTCTCTATGAGGCTGGCATTATTCTAATACCAAAACCAGACAAAGGCATTACAAGAAAACTACAGAACAACATTACTCACAAACGTAGATGGAGAAGTTCATACTAGAACTTCAACAATTCAAATCCAACAACACATGCAAATGATCAAGTGGGGCTTGTTCTTGAATTTGAAAATGAATGTAATTTACCATGTTATCACCTGTGAAAATGCCAAAGTGTATACTATATACTATGTGATTTCATTTATGTGACATTTTGTAAAAAGCGTATTGTGACAGAAAATAAATGAGGAGTTGCCTGGGGACAGAGAGAAGGTTAAGGTGAGATTGGATGATCTGGAGAAATAAATGATTACAAAAGGGACAGGGGGAAATTTTTGATAATATTGAGTATGTTCATTATCTTAATTTGATAATAGTTCAAACATAATTATGTTAGGACTTTCCAAATGGTATACTTTGAATATATGCACTTTATTTTACTTTAATTATATTGCAGTAAATCTTTTAAATATTTTCAGTGAATTCCCTGTTTCTGTGGCTACAGTGATTTTTTTTTTGTTTGGATCATAATTATGTGGCCTCCAGTTATTTAGCCATAAATACTTGTGCCATGAAACTTTTCAAAAACTTGTCTCATGTCAGCATAATCTATGGTATTTCACTACTATATGTAAGTTTTAAAAATTTTATATTCGTAGTACTTTCTGCAACTATTTATTCCCTTGAGGATGTATTATAAATTACAGAAGAAAGTAACAGTGATATTTTTTGTTTACAGTTAAGGGCAAGGAATTTCTTGAAAATTATAACCAATCTCTTGAAAAGTGGTCTCTCTCACAAGCTGTCACTGGTCTGATAGACACAGGAAGAGTATCTGAAGCTGAAGCTCTCTGCACAAAGGTATTATTATATAATTATGCATTGAACTTGTGGATTCTTATTTTACTCTTTTTTTTAAACTTAAAAATAGCTTCAAAAATGGAATGTGTGTTATTTAAAGAGCATATAGTGGTGGTGATTATGATGATAGCATTCAGAATTTATTGATTTCTTGCTACAAGTCAATCTCTCCATTTAACATTTTGTATTTGAGTTTTGCAACAATCCTGTGATGTAGGTATTTATATAATAAACATTTTTACAAGTGAGAAAATTAAGGCTTAAAGAAAGTAAGCACAGGGGTTCACAGCTAAAAATAGTGTTGCAGTTTGAACTCATATTTGACTCTAGGACTCCAGCTCTTAAAAAACCTTTTTTATTTTAGTTTTTGGGTACCATTAACGAGGCACTGTTTTCCTTTGATTTTTGATTGTTCCCTTCAGAATGCTGTGTTTTTCAGGATTCCTTCATTTTTCTTCCATTTTTCAAGTTCTTAGCCACATAGCATGAAAATTGATGAATGGGAACTGGAACTAATCCCTCACAAGTAATGTTTTACATGTCAGGATTATAGGGCTATCAACTTGGAGGCTCTGTGAGTAAATTCTTAGCATTTTGCCTAGCACATAATAGGGATCTGATAAATATTTACTGAATGAATGAATTAATAAATCTACTCAGAAATAAAAATTAGTAGTTGAGAGTTTTAACCATGTTTTTTCTTGGAAACATTGTTTCATGAATGCTTGCCAGGGATATTGTGTTGTTTTTTGAAATGAGGTTTTTGAAAGAATAGTTTTAAATTTTACAGAGAAAGAAAAATGGACTTGCTAACCCTCTGAGAAGCAGAATAATTACATTTTTCTTCTTCATGTAAGGAATTCCATCTGAGATAAGTTCAGGACAGGCTGTTACACCAGGAGTGTTTATTCATCATGAACTAAAAGTTGCCTTGTGCTCTCATAGAATCAAGAATGATATATGGTGGCTGGGGTTGTGGCTCAGTGATAGAGAGCTTGCCTAGCATGTGTGAGGCACTAGGTTCAATTCTCATCACCACATATAAATAAAATAAAATAAAGGTCCATTGACAACTAAAAACATACTAAAAAAAGGGATCTATAAAAAAAATGATGTATGAACCTTTCCTTGGCATTTTATCGTTCCCATCTCTTACTTAGAAGAAAGCAATCCAGATACATTTTATAAATATGTCTGACTATGAACTAATGAATAAAAAAATAGATAAGCATGTTTTTGAAGGCCAGTTCATTCTTTTTTTTTTTTTTTTGAAATAGTAGGTTAATGTTTCACCTTCAGGGTCAGGTTTGCAGTTTCTTAACTAACATAATATTTATATTTATTTACAGAGTACTGTATTATAATTCAAAATATATATAAATATATATATGAATAAAAATAAATATAGTTATAACCAAATCAGGATAACTAATATTCTCATCTCCTCAAATATTATCATTTTTTTGTGCTAGGAACCTTCAAACTCTTATTTCTATATGTTAGTGTATAAATAATAGCTCAGGAAAATATGGAAAGGGGCTATTTCTTTTACTACCAATGATTAAGAAGTCTGTGCCTAGAAGAAAGGAATGTAGTGGACATTGTAGTTTGAGAAAGAAGCACAATTTTGCCTCTTCTTATATGGTATAGTTTATTCCAGTGGAATGGTGATAGCCTTCGCTCTTAATTTTATATTTGCTTAGTTAGGTTATTTACATTTAGAACCTAAATTTTTCAGGATATTTCCTCAGAAAAATCTGGTTGAAAGGACATATTAAATCTCAAATAAATGGCATATCACGTTACTTAAAGATTATTTAAATATAAGTTTTGACCAATCAAATATAAATTAAGAGATAACTGAAAGGAAGTCTAGTAGAGTAGGGGAAGGAGATGGGAAGGACAGAGAGAAGGGAATCAGGGGAATCATGAACTGAAAGTGATTTTCATGTATGTATGAGTTTGTCAGGATGAACCCAACTACTATGTATAAGTGTAAAGCTCTGATATTTTAAAAATGCATTAAAAATACAGGGTTTTATATTCCTAAACTAGTTTGTTTATCTATCTATCTATCTATCTATCTATCTATCTATCTATCTATCTATCTATCTATTTATTTATTTATTTTGGTACTGGGAATTGAATGCAAGAGCACCTTACCACTGAGCTACATTTCCAGTCCCTTTTATTTTGAAAGAGTCTCTCTTAAGTTGCTGAGGCTGAACTTGTGATTTTCCTGCCTCAGCCTCCTGAGTTGCTGGGATTACAAGTGTACACCACTGTGTCCAACATATTTATTTAGCTTTTGCAATTGATTATTCTATAAGAAGAGTTTTAAATTAAGAAAAAATTCCCCCCAACATGGAGCATAGCTTAATTTCCTTGTACTTACATCACTTAATAGCCTACATGATGTATTGCTATTTGTGGTTTAATTTTTAGAATTTAAAAAATAACCCGGATCAGCCAGCTATTATATTACTTTTGAGACAAGTTCAGTGTAAATCACTCCTGGAGTCACAAAAGCCACTCCCAGATGCAGTACTTGAGGAACTTCAAAAAACAGTCATGTCCAACTCAACTTCTGTTCCAGCTTGGCAGGTAAGTTCTCTACTTTATTACATGAGTTCTAAATTAAAATGCTTCATGAAACTAGTTGAAGTTAGGGATATACCCTTTTTTAATTTAAGTCTTGCTTTTAAACATATGTGGTAATCTTAAGATGTAAATTGTATTATGACTAGAAAACCAAGGGGCTTAAATACTAATTTAGTATCTTGTTACTATAATGCTTCAAAACTTTCTTAATTATGATTATAAATTTTCTCAACTTCAAACAATGGTAAAGACACTATCTTTTACATGGGGCTAATGCAGGAGAGGTAAAGATGTGTTCTAAATATTTCTATAATATTGGTACTTTCTTAACTCTGTCTTTAGAAAGGATATGTGTAGTTTTTCCCCTGGCTACTTTACAGGTAACCCATATCCAATATGTTAATAGGTACTTACTGCTTTTAGAGAGAGAAATTTTCAGGATTGATGCTTACATCAATAGATTATTTGCTCTTTCAGCTGTCTCTGATTACCCATAGTCACATACACAATAATCACTATGTCTTTTTTTCTTATTGATAATAATATTCAAAAACATTAATCATTTAGTTTAGTTTTTGTTTCTTTCTGTGCTCCAGAGAAACAGAGACTTCTGGGTACAGATTTATTTTGTTTTGTTTTGGGATTGAACACAGGAGCACTCAACCACTGAGCCATATTCCCAGCCCTATTTTGTATTTTATTTAGAGACGGGGTCTCATTGAGTTGTTTAGCGCCTTGATTTTGCTGAGGCTGGCTTTGAATTTGTAATCCTCTTGCCTCAGCCTCTCAATTTGGGGAGAATTGACACAGTAACACTCTGTTGATTTTTTTTTTTTTCTGTTGGTGAATGTGATATATTTCTCAGTTTAATTGTTTGATATTTCTCTTTGCAGTGATTTAAAACATATAACCTACAGTTTTTTTGCACTTTTTATTGTTTTTCTCGTTCGTTATAAGGTGCTTTTCCTTATATGTTAGCTCCATACATTTAGAAATTCAGTGATTTTTTTTTTTCCTATATTAACTCTAGTACCTTGCTAAATTCACTTATTCTTTGGAATGGTTTTGGATTTTGTACAACCAAAATGAATGTGTTTTGTAAATAATGTTTTACTTTTTTCTTCCCAATATTTACACATTGGTTTTTTTTCTTGCATTATTGTACTGTCTAGAACCTCTAATACAATATTAAATAAAAGTAGTGATAATATTCTTGTCTTATTCTTACCTTAGGGTAGAAATTATTTACCATTTCATTATTAAGTATGGTGTTTGCTACAGGTTTTTATAGATTTTTTAAAAATCAGATTAAAGAAGTTCTCTATTCTGAATTTGTTGAGAGGTTTATTTTTTAATGATATGGAATTTTATTAAATTCTTTTTTGACATTTGATAGAATGAACTTTTCAAAAATCCTATTGATGTGATGGATTACATTGATTTCCAAATGTTAAGCAACCTTACCTTCTTAGAATTAGCCCTATGTGATAATGATGTTATGCTTTTTATACATTGCTGCCATCATTTTGCTAATATCTTGTTTAGAATTTTCATACTTATATTCACAAGAGAAGTGGACCTGTAACTTTTCATTTCCATAAGGTCATTATCATGTATTGGTATCTATGTTTTTATTTTGTGAAAGCATTTATATATGAGTATTATTTGTTTCTTTACAGAACGATTCACCATTAAGGCCATTTAGGAATTTGGTTTATGAGAAATTTTTTAATTATAGGCTAAATTTCTTTATTATACATAGGCATCTATATATAGAGATGTCATGTTTCATTAACATTGGTGAGTTGCATAGTTTTTCCATTGCATTTCAATGTCAGATTTATTGGCATTAATTTGTTCATTGTCCTCTACTGTCCCGTTCCTTATGACTAAACACTCAGGATCACTCCAGATGAACTGGGCTGCATGAAATAACCACATAAGAGAGAGAGATACCTTTTTCTTTGGGGTCCTGTGATGGATCCTCTGACCTTAAGGGTCTGCAGAAACAGACAGAGAGCACTTGCTGAACCCTTTTATTGAGGAAGCAAGAGATATCATTCAAATGAGGCAAGAAGTCAGGTTTCAAGGTGTTGAGTCTAGCGTGGTGATGTCTGCTGTTGACTGACATCTTGGAAGGCCACACCCAAAGGCAGAGCAAGAGAAGGGGACACACAAAGGGAGTTTCCATGAAACAGTCTATCCCAAACAGGGCAAAGGGGTAATATTACAAAGGAATAGGTGAATGTAGCTCATCTTGCATCTGAAGACATGCCCTCAAACTTACTAGACTGGGGCAATGTCCAGGTTACTACAAGATGTAGTGACTGGTCAAAGCCTCTCTACTTCAGGATGGAAGGCATGAATCATTCAGAGGGCTCCCCACAGTCTACCACTGAGCTACCTCTCTAACCCTTTTTATTTTATTTTGAGGCAAGGTCTTACTACATTACTCAGGCTGGCCTCAAACTTGTGATATTGCTTCAAGATTCCCTAGTGGCTGGGATTACAGGTGGGCACTGCTACACCTGGCTTTTTCATTATATTTTCTACATATTAATATTTTTTCTCTGTTATTTTCTTTGCTGTACATTCTTTGGGTTTAATTAGATTTTTCCCCACCTCTAGCTTCTCAAGATATACTTGTTCTCATATGTACCCCATAAGATTTTATATAGTGCTTTCATTGTCATTAATTTCAAATTTTTTCTTAATTTCCACTGGGGTTTCTTTAACTGATTTTTTTTATATGAAGTATTTTGAAGAATATCTAACATGGGGGATTTTCTATATATGTTTATGTTATCAATTTCAAGTTAAATTCTACTTAATCAGAATATACTTTGTCTGATTTTTAGTCTTTTGAAATTTGTTGAGGTTTGCTTTATGATCCAGCATTTGATCACGTGATAAATATTGTATGTGCACTTGGAAAGAATGTGTCTTCTGTAGTCATTGAATGTAGTCTTTTAAATATGTAATTTAAATTTAATTATTTGTTTCAGTCTTCTTTCTCCTTACTGAATCTGTTTATTTATTTATTTATTTATTTATTTATTTATTTATCATTGCTGAGATAATGTGTTAAAAATCTCCTATGATTCTGAATTTGTCTACTTTTCATTTCTGCCAACTTTTGTTTTAAGAATTCTGTGTTATTGGATATATACAAATGTAGAAGTGTTTATTTTAAATGGACTTTTATTGATGCTGGTGATGAGAATCAGGTCCAAGTTCCATTTTCCAGGAATGCTGAACATTGAACACCTGAGAAATGCCCAGGCAAGCATAGAAAGCAAGTTTTATTTGAAGGATAAAGCAGATATAGACTTCTCTGCAGAGAAGGGGCCCCAGAGCTGAGTGTCCTGCCCCTTTTATACTTTTTAGATTTCATTTGTTCTCATGCTCTCTCCTCCTCCTATCCTGTGCCATGATTAGTGGCCAAAAGGTAGACCAAAGGTCAGGTGATCCAAAGGTGGGAACTTAGCTGCCCAGGGGTCCAGGCAGGAAGGGAGTGGCCCAGGAGGCATTCATTAACAGTCCCTTTTATAGAGGAACAAATCCCTGGAGCCAGGTGTCCTTGACAGCAGGTGGTGGAAGGGGAAGTGTCCTGAAGGTATTAAAATTTTATTTTCTCCTGAGTCAGCCCCATCTTTGTGACCCAATCTTTACATCCCCTGCCTCATTATCATTATGAAATATTCTACCTTATTTCTTACTATTTTCTGTTGTAAAGTCTATTTTGGTTATTAATTCAGCTGTACAGACTTTCTTTTGGTAGTATTTACATGATAGATCAGTTTTTACATTTTATTTTAATTTTATTCCTGACTTGCCATCTTGGATTTTATACTTTAAAGTAGGTATGGCTAGTAAGCTGTTACTGATAGAATTGGCAGTATATTCCTTTCTTGACCTGTGATTTTTGTCTTTTGGGCACAGAACTTGCTGATAATAATAATAATAAAAAAGTTTAACTTCATCAATTCTTCAGTTTGTTGGGAATGGGGAACCAGACAGTGTATTAAACTAAAATTCTCTTCATCCTTCTCCTTTTCTGTTCTTTAGTGGTTGGCACAGGTGTATCAGTCTCAAGGAATGATGGGTGCTGCAGAAATGTGTTACAGAAAGAGTCTACAAGTAGCATCTCAACAGGGAAGCTGGAGTGGGAAACTCTCAAGTCTATTGAAACTAGCATTGCTTGCCTTAGAAATCTGTATGGTAAGATCATGTTATAATTATGTGATTAAAAACTTGATTCTTTTATCCTTTTTTATTTCATTCTTTATCCTTCTTTAAAGCATTTCAAAAACTTTATATTCATCAAAAAGAAATTTTAAAAATGAAACAAAAATGATATCACCCACATAACTTTTGCTGGGGTTTATTTCATGGAGTTCCTATTGTTTCATTGTCTTCTATTGTGATCTGTTGATAGACTTTGTATTTTCACATCTCTTGAGACAAAACAGTAACGTAAATCTATATAGGCTACAATTTGGGAGAAAAACTAAGATGAAAAATTTTAAAGTTGAAATGAATGGATAAAGAACATGTGGCATACATACACAATGGAATATTACTCAGCCATAGATAAGAATGAAAATATGGCATTTGCCAGTAAATGGATGAAACTGGAAGCTATCATGCTAAGTGAAATAAGCCAATCCCCCCAAACCAAAGGCTGAATACCCTCTGATACAGATGCTAACATACTATAAGGGGTGGGGGAGGGGAAAAAAGGTACTCTGGGTTAGACAAAGGGGAATGAAGGGAAGAGAGGGGGTGGGAATAGGAAAGACAGTAGAATGAATTGGACATTAGTTTCCTATGTTCACATATGAATACACAGCCATGTAACTCCACATCATGTACAACCACAAGAATGGCAAGTTATATTCCATGTATGTATGTATACTCCATGTATGACAAAGTATATTCTGCTGTCATGTTTAAGTAAAAAAATAAAAATAAAAAGTTAAAATAACTAAATAATTTTTTGAAAAATTTAAAATTTGAATTAGAGCAGAATATACATTTTTGTTTCTTGGTTGATCTAAATTGGAATTAAATTCAGCTATTCATCTGTGACAAAAATGACAATAATTTAACATTTTAGGCATTTCTCAATTCTACTCTTTCATTTTAAATATTTTGCTGTTATTTAAAAACTTTACATTCATCAAAGAGAAATTTAAAAAATGAAACAAGAATAGCACCACCCACATAACTTTTGCTGACATTTAAAAAAATAAGAGCAATACAGATAAGAGAATGAAAAGACAAAGTAGAAACTGGGAGATTTGTAAATGATATATCTGATAAGAGACTTATACCCAGAATACATGAAGAACTCTGAAAACTCAACATTAAGAAATACATGTGAATTCTGAAATTTAGTTAATCATGATATGCTAATGTTGATTTCCTAAGTTTTGACTAATATACCATATAATGAAATATGTTAATGCTAGGAGAAACTGGGTAAGAGTTTCATGGCAACTGTCTGTACTATTTCTACAACTTTTCTGTAAATTTTTTTAAATGTTTTTATTTTAGTGCATTATAGTCACACATAATGTTTGGGTTCATTTTAATGTTATCATATGTGCATGGAATTTAATTTGCTCCATTTCAATCTCCAATACTCCTCTTTCCCTCCCATCCTCCTCTCCTTATTCTCTTCCTCAACTTTACTAGTCTTCCTATTTATATTTTTAAATTGGCACTTTATAGATATAAATAATATATATAAATATTAGAATACACTGTGGTATAGTTATACATGTACATAGCTTAATTTTGTCAAATCAATTCTGCATTTCCTCCTCTTTTCCATCCTTCCTCCCTCCTCAATCTCCTTTGACTCTACTAATCTTCCCTTTATTTTTGTGAAGTCCACCTTGTTTCCCCTTATTTTGCTCTCTTTACAGTGTGATAGAAAACATTTGACCCTTGATTTTTCTGAGTTTGTCTTGTTTTGCTTAGCATCATGTTCTCCATTTCCATCTATTTTTCAGCAAATGTCATTCTTTCATTCTTTGTGACTGAGTAAGACTACATTGTTTATATATGCCACATTTTCTTAATCCATTCATCTCTTCAAGGGCACCTGGGCTGGCTCCATAACTTGGCTATTATGAATTATGCTGCTATAAACATTTCTGGATCACTGTGGTAGGCTGATTTTAGTTCTTTCAGGTAAATACTGAGGAGTAGGATAGCTGGGTCATATGATAGCTCTATTTCTATTCTTTTGAGGAATTTCCATACCAATTTCTAAAGTGATTGTACTAATTTGTAGTCCCACTAATATTGTATGGGTGTAACTTTTTTTACGCATCCTCGCCAGCATTTATTAATATTTGTATTCTTGATGAGTGCCATTCTAACTGGAGTAAGATAGAATCTCAGTATAGTGTTAATTTGCATTTCCCTAATTGCAAGAGATGTTGAACATTTTTTAATATATTTGTTGGCCATTTATATTTCTTCCTTTGAGAAATGTCTGCTTAGTTCCTTTGCCCATTTATTGATTGGATTATTTGGGTGTTGTTTTTTGTTGTTGTTGTTGTTTGTTTTGTGTGTGTGTTAAGCTTTTTGAGTTCTTTATGTATTCTAGATATTTAGGCCCTTTATGTATTCTGGATATTTATCAATGTGACATTCTGTAAGAGGAATTTGTAGCAGCTTATGACTTTATATCCTATTTTCTGATAACAATTTATGTATTAATCTGAAATTCTTATGTGCTGGTAGGGACAGTTCTTCAAGATACATATTTAAGGGTTTAGGGGTAAAGTTGAGCTGCAGAATAATATGGTGAATCAATCCTATTTCAGTGTTTGTATCTGTGATATATATATATATATATATATATATATATATATATATATACACCATGTACATTTATGTATATAACAGAAGCACATAGAAAGATATAATTATGTGGAAAGATACATAAAGAAATGTAATTAATGGCAATTACTTTAGATAATAGTACTGGTCATTTTAAAGGATGGCAGAGCATAACTTTCATTTCATATCTTTTGAGAGTGTTTGAATTTTTTATTATTAGCACATTACTTTTGTCATTAAAAGATAAACTCTCAGTTTTTCTATTTTAGGTGGTTGGAAGAGATTTTCATAGTCCTGAATTAACTCTTGCTTTTACCTTGGTAATCATATGAATGTGATTTATTTATTTTAGGTATTTTGACAAAGAAACATAAGAAATAGAGAATCGTTTTAGATTTGGCACCATTACTGTGGACTATATCCAAAAACTCCTTAGGTCAGAGGCCATGTTTTATACTTACCTACTTGCTTTACCACTTCCTTATACATTAGGAAGTCCCCAGTAAATACATTTTGAATGTATGAACAATTAATAACATGGTCAAAAAAAATTTAATGTTGTTAAGTTGTTCTTTATCTTCACCTTAATTTTATCTTGCTTACATTAATATGCAAAAGCTCATGATACTCCTCTTGTGTTTTTATGTAAAACAATCATTTTTCTTTTTTAAATTTTAATTTGTTATATATGATAGAAAAATGCATTATAATTTATATTACACATACAGAGCACAATTTTTCATATCTCTGGTTGTATACAAAGTCTTCATACATGTACTTCGAGCAATGATATCTTATTCCACTTTCTTTCCTACCCCCATGTCCCCTCTTATCCCTTTCCTCCTCTTTGCCCTATCTAGAGTTCATCTAATCCTCCCAAACCCCCGCCCAACCACATTATGAATCAACATGCTTAAATCAGACAAAACATTCAGTATTTGTTTTTTTTTGAGATTGGCTAAATTTACTTAGCATTATATTCTCCAACTCCATCCATTTACCTGCAAATGCCATGATTTTATTCTATTTTAATGCTGAATAATATTCCATTGTGTATGTATACCACATTTTCTTTATCCATTCTTCTACTGAAGGGCATCTATTTAGCTATTGTGAATTGTGCTGCTATAAACATTGATGGGGCTGTGTCCCTACAGTATGCTGTTTTTAAGTCCCTTGAGTATAGACTTAGGAGAGGGATAGCTGGGTCAAAAGGTAGTTCCATTCCCAGTTTTCCAAGGATTCTCCATACTGCTTTCCATATTCGCTGCACCGATTTGCAGTTGCACCAGCAATGTATAAGTGTGCTTTCCCCCCTACATCCTCATCAACACTTGTTGTTTGTATTCTTAATAGCTGCCATTCTGACTGGAATGAGATAAATCTTAGAGTAGTTTTGATTTGCATTTCTCTAATTGCTAGAGATGCTGAACATTTTTTTCATATATTTGTTAATTGATTGTATATCTTCTGAGAAATGTCTGTTCAGTTCCTTGGTCCATTTATTAATTGGGTTATTATTATTATTTCTTTTTTTTTTGGTGTTTAGCTCTTCGAGTTCTTTATATATCCAAGAGATTAGTGCTCTATCTGATGTGCATGTGATAAAAATTTATTCCCAAATTGTAGGCTCTCTGTTTACCTTACTGATTGTTTCTTTTGCTGAGAAGACGCTTTTTAGTTTGAATTCATCCCATTTGTTGATTCTTGATATTAATTCTTGTGCTATAGGAGTCTTATTAAGGAAGTTGGGGCCTAACTTGACATGATGGAGTTTGGGAATAATGCAATCAAATTTGAAGAGATTCAAGTGTAAAGGAATAGTAGTGGTAATAGTAATTATAAATCACCCCAAATTTTATTTTGTTGTCCATATTTGTATTTTTAAAAGGATTTTAATACCTTGGAAAACTGATAAACTATGGAAGCCACACATAGTGTCTGTAATATACTGTTTAAAAGAAAAATCCTTATTTATTTTTATGTGGTGCTGAGGATCAAACCCAGTGCCTCACATGTGTGAGGCAAGAGCTCTACCACTGAGCAACAGCCCCAGCCCCTGTAATACTAATATAGTTAAGCAAATTTACTTGGAGTTCAGTAATACCCATTTATACTGACCCCTATCACACTACTGCCACCACAAAATGTTTTCTCTAAAAGCCTTTATTCCATTTCTACCAGTAACTACCTATGAAACCTGCAGCCCATAGAAGTATTCAAGAGCTTTTTCATTTGTTTTATTTTATTTTTTTTATTGTTGGTCGTTCAAAACATTACACAGTTCTTAATACATCATATTTCATAGTTTGATTCAAGTGGGTTATGAACTCCCAACTTTACCCCGTATACAGATTGCTGTA